GAATAAATTTATCTTTATCTATCAAATGTAATTCACAGCCTTTTAAGATTTACTTCTGCTTGTATCTTCCCTGTACATGATGGATATAATTTTTAATTCTATTACTTATTTAACTCCAGATCAGGAGTCCAATTCTTCCTGTCACYAGTGTATTAATTTATCTACCTTTTATGGCACAGACTTTATTATACTGTCTACCAATTATTATAGTGACTGTTTTTAAAGAATTTGACTTGCCCATAACTTGTCTAATTGGTGCTAATGGACATACTCTGTTCATTTTAACAACTTCCTTGATAGTGCTGTTGAATCGCTGGAATCCATCTGTATTCAGAGATGCAAGCAAGTTTGGTTAAAATAAAACATGGAAATTAATCATCACCACCATCAGTAGCTGGCTTTCTATGAAAACTATTCCAAGCTCTGGAAGTTGTTCTGTTGTGTTATAAATGGATACAGATGCATTCTGCCAGATTAGCATTAGTATGGGCCTTTGTTCTTTACCTCATATGTGGTGCATTAAGGCCTCCCCAAGATCTCTTCRCATTAATTGATTTAATCATCTGTGTCTGTAAAACCATTTCTGGTTCTGGGTTTAGAAGCAAACAGGCACTGAAAAGTAGGTTACTGTCTGAAACTTTTTCAGTGATGTTTACTACAGTGTTTTCTGATCATGCATKAAAATGCCAGCAGTAATGTAAAATCAGATTTACATTTAGATCATTGAGATGGTGTAAGAGTATGAATGTCTCCGCTGATTCTAGGTAGCTTTGATTCTGATGTCTGTGAGAGTGAATCTGCAGGAGGCAGCTGTGTAAAGTCTGTGTAAATGAGAGGAGAATCCTAATCAGCTATTAGGATTGGACTCTGATTAGAGCCCAAAGTCATGATACGCTGCTTAATCCAAGATTTAATATGTTAATACGTTGCTATGATTTTCTTTATCATGCCACTTTTGCTCTTTCCTCTCCCTCCACTTCTGTATTTCTATGGAAATCATTAATTATAGCTTGTTGATTTTTTTGTGTCTGACAAAATACCAGCTAGAACTTTTCCACTGGCAGGGGCATTTTAAAGATGAGCCTGATACTGATTCTACAGTGTCTAATAGGATATGCTGTAATGCTGCAGCTCTTCTCTTAGTAAGGAATTAAAAGATCTCTCTCCTGTCCTACTCTCTCTTTGCACTAAGTGTGTGGGAACAAAGCAATCATTGAATCTCTTGCCTCTGCAACAAGAGACRGGCATTGACAAATGACTGAAGAAGTGGGGAAAATAGAGAGATGTAATGGCTTTGCATCTCAAGTAAGTCTGTTTCCTCCTAGTCATCATAATTCCTGAGAGATGCAATCACACTTAAAAAGGAAATAATTGAAGAATACSTTGGGAAAATAATTCATATACTAACTTGTTCTGTTGATCATGGTTCTTAACAATTCTCTAGGTCCATTTGTAACAGTATTTGCATTCCATTCAAGAGATCAATTTCAAAGCAAATCTCCTGCTCTCCCCGCCAAGGACACTGCTTGTCAGTCGTGTGTGAACTCAATTACTCTGAGCAGAAGGGAAGYGAACAGATGTGCTTCAGGAGTGCACCGACTGCTTTTCAGACAATAAATGGGAGTTCAGTCCAGGGCACCAGCCTGGAGTCACTTAATAATAAAATCCTTGCAACATGTCTGGATGTGATAATCAGGTGCACAGCACCAGCTGCTTTGGTCTCCAGATCCACTCACATTGTACCATGTCTTCCTAATGCAGACATGGCCAAGATATTCCAGAGGTAAGGAAACATCAACCTCCAGAAGGCCTTCTTTCTGCAGCTGCAACAAGTGCTATTTTTCTCCAGTATACCAGGGATCTTCAATCATTCCTTGTGTTCAGACTTGCTGATTGTTAACTTCTTTTTAGGAATACATCTGACCAATGACCATTTCTAACAGTCCTAATAAACATTTCTCTTTTCCAAAGCCTCTAAATTTGGAGGTTTTACAATCTAGTATTCTTCTAGATACAAGGGCAGCTGGTTCACTACCTTGTCCTTTCAGTGGAGAACCTCCTCATCCTTCCTRTAAAGGAGAGCCTTTGCATCCCTAGCTGGTAAGGATCAGATATTGCATTGGCAAGGTGGGGTCGATAGCTCTTTCTAGGTCCAGACCTTCTGTGAGAAACAGGTTATTCCTAATGGCATTTCATTCTCTTGAGGCAATCTGCCATCTCCTCTGTGAAGTGTGCTGTTTTATGTATCATCTCAGGTTCTCAGAGTCTCTTTGTGCCCAGGTTGGTGTGATATTCAGGGCAATCCACTGTGCTGATGCAACATTGTAGGTTGGGCTACGATGCTGGCTTTGCTACTGGCTTGGGCTAATCACAGAATASAGACTCAACTTCTTTCTTCAATGAAAGGATTTCATCTATTCCATCAGTATGTTGCCTGTGTTAAAACTTCATGTTAGTTATGTTGAATAAGACCATAAAACACAGTCCTTTCTCTTCCAGATAGGATAGTAGAGGCCAGGCAGGATAGTAAAAGCCAAGGCTTTKAACAGTTCAGCGCAATCAGTATTTTGTGGCTAAGGTACAGGGTCTGGCACTTGTCAGAGAAGATGGTGAAGGATGAGAGGGAAACTAGGACTTGTTGGCGATTTGCTTCCACATCCAAAGATTATATTCCAATCATTAAATATCACAAGAAACATGTTTTCAATAGTGATTGGGGATTTTTGAAAAAGCATTTGTAAGGTGTTTTGTTGGGGTCCATTTTTTCAGAGGGCCAGATGCCTATTTGTTCTACAAACAAGGATTCCTTTTGGCTTTTCAGCATGGATGGCATGAGCCTGAGGAACCTACAGTCAGAAATTGCCTTAAGAAAATCCTGCCCAACAGGAATTAAACTAGATGAGAGCAACAACAGGAGTAAGTGCTTAGATAATGGAAAACTGAATTATATAAAATTATCACTGTTTTGCAAGCTGTGTCCAAACCCATTTGGGTTTGAACTCATCAAAAGTGAGTTCACTTTTGATCCCAAACTGCAGTTGCCTCCACATGGCAAAGCCTTTGAGCTCTGCCACAGGACACTTCTGGTCTTAAAGGCTTAATTGTGTTTCAAAATGCTGCTGGTTTTATGCATTAGAACACCATCCTAGAGGAAACATTTGAGAACTGTGATCATGGACCATGGTCTGGTCCCAGGGCAGTCTTGTGCATCCCAAAATGCAGTGGGTTGGCAGGTAATGAAATCAGAACAGAATTGGATTTTACAATCTTTCTGGAATGTCCTGGTGTTTGTATGTCTTGTGGTACAGGCTGTTCAAGGGAAAAGGGGCATTTTCTTTGGCTGATTCCAATACATCTTGCTCCTTCAGTCCATACTTTTAGCTCAGGTGCTGATTATTGCTCTGGAAAAGGTCAATATGTTTCTTGTGCAAGGAAGGAGCTGTCAGGCTTGGTTCCACATGATACTATGAAAATAAATTTCCATGCAGATTCTGATTTGCTTCAGAGTTGCTCCCGAAGACAATGTATTATTGACATTGGAAGATTCAGATCATTAAACCTGCATTTTACTTTTCATCTGTGGACAGTTCACTTTTTTACCTGTGTATCTGCATGCTYCACTCCACAGAGACTTTTTTACAATGTAGGAGTCAGCAGCACAATAGGGGAGAATTCATTAAATGGCAAATTGTTCTATGTTACAGTAATTCAAAAGTTAATTCCCCTCTTCTGCTTTCAAGTGTCATGAAGTGGCAGTTACTCAAGGTTTTTAGCAGGTGAAAAAGCAATAGTAAGACAACTTATGTTTTAAGGCAACTTTTAGTATACATGGAGAATTCAGGTTCTCCCATTCGGTGTGTTTATCTTAATTGGTAACCCATTGCAAAGATGTAAAAGAAAACAGGAAAATAACACTTTAGCTCTTGTTTCAGTTGTATTTCTCCGATTATTTGTATTTTTTTCAGGGTGTGATTAACAGAATGTCCCACTCATGTTGGTTTTACTTGAATCTGTTTAAACCAAGCATCTCTGAATTTGATCATGATTCAATAGAGCAAATCATTTAGGGCTTTAACTCCAGGCCTTGATAACCCAGAGAATGATTCTGTTGTGAAGATTGGTTTTGGCAGTGGGAAAGCTAAGAGAAGCTAGAAAAATCCTTTCATCCATCTCAATATTCACTTACTACTGAAGCTGTCTTCCAGATCAATACTGACCTCTCAGGTGAACAGTGGTTTGACAGTTTTCCTACTGTTGTGCACCACAGCAGGGATGTGCTTTTTTGATGGATGATATTCTAGTAGCAGCAGATGTTTGGAAAAATTATTGTGACCTGTGTCACCAGYTCCATGCCTGTACTGTATTTAGACAATCTAGGAGAAAGCAAGGCCAAGTTACCTTTTTTTCTTTTTCACTATTATTTTTAAATTGAGCTTTGGGACATCTAGACAGCTCCAGGTGCCCTAATGTTCCCATGCTTGTTCCTATAACCTGGAATATCACTCTCCTTGTTCCTACCCCAGATTTGCATGCACACAGTCTCAAAAAGCTTACTGAAACATTACTTACAAATAAATAGATATTCTTATGACCAGACCAGCTGAGGCAGCAGTCAACACATTTCAATGCACTTGATAACAGCAGCCATTTTAGATAGTGCTGTTCCTGTTTTTCCCAGTGTTGTGACAGTAGCCTATGCCATGGTTTACCTTCTGGTTGAGCTCTTGCTGAGGCTGTGGTGTGAACCAAGTTAAGAGACTGATCCAGATAAATAGTATTTTCAGAGTTTTTCCTGTTTCAGTTGGGGCAGAGATGAACAAGAAACAGAGATGTTTCAAAACAATGTATTGGAAAAGTGTATCTGGAAAGAATGATCGTGTATCCTTCAYCTCACTTAGATCATCAGGTCACCATGCTGAGGTGTGTCTCATAGTTGACGTACTCTGTGTTGCTGTGGCCCAGSCACCTGACTAATGTTCTGTGCCCTTCCTTTATTTCAGCAATTCAGCTTTGTCTCCCTGCCCACGGATGTCCTGGAAATAGAAGTTAAAGACAAATTTGCAAAGAGCCGACCGATCATCAAACGTTTTCTGGGAAAACTCTCTATGCCGGTTCAGCGCCTCTTGGAGAGACATGCCATAGGGTAAATTTTGCTGCTTACATTGTTTATCTAGTCTGTTGCTGTTCTGAAGTCTCTGGTGATTTATCATTATTGTGATATAATGATGTTGAAGGGAAGTTATTAAACTGACAGTTGTCTGATAAATGGTGTTGGTCTTAATTAGAATTTATAGGACTTTGGGCCAGACAGAAGTCCCTCTATAACCCTATGCATAGCATTTTAAAAAGTGAGAGCTGGCATTTAGGAAAGAAGATTTCTTTTGTGTATGATGGCTGCGACTTTGGAGAGTGAAATATTTTCAATTGAATATTCTTTAAATGTTATCCGCAGGCTGTTTTCATATTTCAGGGAGTTACCTATGGGCTAAAATCATGCCAGATCTGTTCCTCCTCTTTTTAACTTCTGGAAAGGGGAAATTATTAAAAAATAYATGTGGCATGTTGTAACTAATGCTTTCTGACCCTACCCTGCTGCCAAGGAACAACCTTGAGCTCACAAGCGCTGCCCTGCTTCCCCATTGCATGAAAGTCCTGGAAAAGTGTATGCTGCCAAAATAACACAAACCAATTTAAGGAAGGTGGATAGTAATCAGACAAAGCCAAAAAGTTGGCTTTAAGCCTATAATGTTAAGACCTTGAAGAGCAAGGGAGAAAAAGTCATCTTCTGAGGAAAACATATGCAATGCAGTTTCCAAGAAGTCATTTCTGAAAATTGGATCTCAATTCAGCAGAACAGTGGGAATATGAGCTTATTGGAAGTGTTTTTGAACAGCTGGTTCAGAAACCGGCTGTGATATTGACAGCTGAATCTAMCAGAAGGGACTAAGCTACCTCCCTGTTTCTCAAGTAAAGAAGATAGAGTAGCATTTTAGAAACCAGATGGATAAGAACAGCTTGGGGAAGGTAGAACCCTGTAGCTGGTATCACTGGCTTTCCTCTGTATGAGAAGATTTCTCATCATCTTCTGACTGTAACTTCCTATTTTRCTTCCTTGTTGTAAATACTGTCTATCTAAAGATATCCTTTGCCAAGAGAGTGCCTCCAACCTGCACTAGATCTGGCTCAGTGTTAATACCCTAGTGGCATTTAAATCTCAGGCAAGCTCAGTGRGAAATATACAGACGAGTTCAGAGAGGTCATACGCAAATCTTGAGATCATCTGAAATAAGTTTCTGATGCATGTGAAACTATTCTAGCAAGTATATTTGGCCCAACTGGAAGTGAACTATGTTTCTTCAAAATATGTATAAATATTWCTATTTAGTGAACTCGTTACACTCMAAAAATTCTTTGCAAAGATTGATTCAGCATCATTGTGGGCAGCTGAGAAGTTAATCTCTTCTATAGTTTCATTCTGTTCTGAGGGGTGGATGAAGTGTGGCAAAGGGAGGGACCTGCACAAGGACAGAATGGAGTCATTGATCAACCTTGTCAGGAAGGTGTTCTACTGATATTTCAGCTTCATAGAGGTAAGAGGGGTGGAAAGAGATGAAGAGCAGTCACTCAGCCAGTTTAGAGAGAGAAGGTGGTACGCGGGGACTGGCCTGCACAGGGTTTTAGAAACAAGAACAGGAAAGCTGAGTTTTATGCACATGGTGAAAGGAAGAAAATGCAGAAATGCAACGCTCTACGAAAAGGTAGATGGTAGATCTGCAGGGAAGCAAAGTCTTGTTACAATAGCTRAAGTGGGAGTTGTTTGCTTCCCATGTCAATATTTTCATACCCATACTGCAGAAGTTTCATTCCCACCGTTCTCTCTATATTTATACATATGTGCTTGTGTATGCCAGCAGCCTGTCTTACTCACTCACTCCGCTGTTCCATTGTAAATGAAGACATTCTCCTCTCCTCTGCCATTCGTTCTCTCATATGCAGGTCAACATGCCTTCATGGCTGGGAATGAATAGCCTCTATGTATTTTGTTATGTATTTTTGTAGGACACAGGTTTATCTATGCACAGTAGACATTGGGTTATAGTCTATTGTGACAATATTTGTTTTCTTTCAGGGACAGGGTTGTAAGCTACACTCTGGGTCGCAGACTTCCTACAGATCATGTCAGTGGCCAGCTGCAGTTCCGATTTGAGATAACTTCTTCCATCCATCCAGGTAATTCTCAGTCTTAACCCATCATTTACCTAGATTTCTAGAACTTTTTTTTTTTTGTTTGCATTCTTTCTCTTCAGAAATCTGAATTCATTCCTGGCTGCTCTGGGACTTTAGGTACAGTAATGAGCAAAGGGAAGTGCATAAAGTTCCCCATCACAGGATGTATCGTGAGTCACAATTTCTTCCCTTTTTCCCCTTAGGATAGAGCTASTGATGTCTCATATTCCTCTGTTCTTGGCTGATCCAAATACTCCACCACATCACTGGGAGACAAGAGAGTGGAAAACTAAAGTCTCTTCTGCTTCTTTATCACCTGCCCTAGTGGAAGTGCTGTGTGGGCTGATATTTGTAGAGTCATCTGCATTTGAGCACWTCATAAGTAAAAATGGAGACTGTAATAGTAAAGATGATTAGAAACTTTTTCAATCTGATTATTTTTAATGAAAAAGTAAAACAAAAAATAATTCCATGTTCCATTTCTTCCCTCCCATGTAGGTTGGTTTTGGTCCATGTTCTCTTGTAGTTATTTGGAAGTGACCATCATGATTGTCTAAGGCTGAGCCTTGGTTTTCGTGTCACAGTCTCAATAGCATTTCTTGGGGAGTGTTTGCTTTGGGGGTTCTCTGCCCTCTCTGCTACATTTTGTCAAGCCAACAGCAGCTACATTAGTGGCTGGAAATCATTGCTTTCCCCTTGCTGGAAAAATTTCTATCTTTTGACTATTTGGATGGCATGAAAGAGCCTGGGTTGTTTGTCATCTGAGAGGAGGTGGTATAGATGAGGATCACATCAAGGGCTATTTTGGGGAAAATTTTCACCTTTCGGGGTGGAAAACACAGTTTTTTACATTTTCTCTCGTGGAGTCTTGCCAGCTTCAGCATGACAAGAAGAATGTCATTAAAATCTCAGAGAAGATATCCCCAATTCCCATATTATTTCTTGTGATGCTAGTTTGGCTCAAAGAGGAGTTTCAAGAGGGTGTTACCTTCAGGTTATGCTGCAAGGAGGCAGGGTGCTGCATACTGATTACCGCCATGAGTAAACCCATGATTAAATCCACCGTACAAAGACTGCCTAGCAAAAAAACCTCAGCACTTCTTGATAGTTGTTCAGTTGCCCACTCATTTCACACTGTAATTTATGCTTTTAATTCTTTCAGGTTGCTGTGGATGCTTATGCCCCCACAGCCAACCCTCTGATTCAGTCAACACTTCTTGTTGAAAGAGTAAGTGATTTCTTTTCCTGTTTCATACAGATGATGAAGAGGTCTCCATTAGTGCAGATCCTGAGCCAGCTGACCTCCGGGAAAGCCCTGTGAACAACCCCACAGAGGAAAGCCTCGGTGAGCCTCCATGCATCAACACAGTGACCTCAGAAAGTGCAGCTCCAGAACAGCTAAATGGATACAGTGTGAACAGTGTCGATAGCCCAGGGGCTGTCAAACCACCTGGGGAAGTCAACCAGAGCAGCTTAAATGAAGAGCTGGCAGGAGATGGTGAGGTTGATGCGGTGCCAGTCCCCGAACCCTCGGAATCCATCCCAGGAGAAGTGCTGCCTTCTTTGAGTACTACGGACCTCATGGAGCAGTCGGATATGATGGCTTGCATGTCTCCTCCTGAGACCGAAGTTAGGGAAAATAAAGTCAATTCTGGTGTTGAGGGAGATGGTGGAGTCTTGACCAGCATAGAAACAGTAGATATTGATGAGGTGAGTGCAGATGTGCATACTGGCAAGGACCTAGAGAAGAGTCAGGAAGAAGAAGGGGCTTCAGCCCAGGASGACGAAGACAACAAGCTACAACTGAGGACCACAGCAAAGAGGAAAAATAGGCCATGCTCCCTGCCTGTGTCTGAACTTGAGACAGTCATAGCTTCAGCTTGTGGTGAGCCAGAGACCCCTCGCACACACTACATACGGATCCACAACCTGCTCCACAGTCTGCCCTCAGCACAGATGAGTAGTGATGGGGAGGAAGAGCAAGATGGTGGCAATGGCGGGGAGAACGATGAGGAGTCTACTGTCAAGGAGGTGTTGGATAAGGAGGTGGTCAGCGAGAGTGAGACTGTGGCAGCAGAGCCTCCTCCAGAAAATGAGGCTGAAGAGAACTTCAGCCAGAGCACGGTGCCTCCAGGGACCTTGGATGAGCAACTCTCCGACTTGAATGATGGGCTGTTGGATGGGGAACCTCCCAGGACAGGAAGTGAGAGCGAGTCAAGCTCCAGGCCACATGGTGACAACGAATGTGAGGCGTGTGACACCTCTTGCTACAGCTCCTCTTGCTACAGCACCTCCTGCTACAGCACCTCTTGTTACAGCACTTCATGCTACAGCACCTCCTGCTACGACAGTAACAATCGCTTCTCCAGCCACACGCGCTTCTCCTCCGTCGACAGCGCTAAGATTTCTGAGAGCACAGTCTTTTCCTCACAGGATGATGATGAGGAGGAGAACAGTGCTTTTGAGTCAGTGCCAGATTCAGTGCAGAGCCCTGAGCTGGACAGGGAGCAAGTGGATGGCTCCTCCCAGTGGCCAGATGAACTAGTAGCTCATGGTGGGAATCCACAGAGAGCCACAGAGGGTCTAGACACCCCAGTAGCAGGTCCAAGCAGCAGAAGAGAAGGTTAGATCCTGAGAATTGATGCACTGGGCAACCCTGATTATCTAGATGTCACAGAAGGCATCAGATAATTGAGGTTTCAGATAGCTTGTGGTTTATTTCTTACAAACTCGGGGGCTGTGAGCCGGGCCAGATATYAGGGAGGGTTGGATAATTGAGCCTGTCCTTAAAGATCCCAGCAAAACCAACTAAATCAGGTAGGGATCTGTATATATGGATTACTGTAGATATACATGCATCATTATAAAATCAAGATTAGCTACTGTAGTTATGTGGAAGATCAGCATTATCACATCCACCAACTCATTCCTTTTTTCCTGGGATTTTTCCATATCACATATCTGATGTGCTGCCATGTCTCTCATAGTCAGTGAGAGGGACCAGCTTGTGCTTGTCAGAGGGCAGATATACTGATTTGCACCAAATAAAGGTCTGGGACAGTTTCTGTAAATGTTTGTGAGCCATACATAATCACAAGCTGTTACAAACAGTTTTCTAGTCCCATTTGTTCCAATTCCCCAAGTATCAAACAAATGTACCTTAGACGTMACAGATCATAGGGTAACTCAACAGAGATTTATATTTTTTCTAAAATACTTTAGAAATTTAACTATATTAGATAAAATTCTTCTCTCTCTGTTCTTCCTAGAGATAGGATATACTTAGATTTTTTTTTTATGTAACTTAGGTACTATTTTTTCCAATTCCTTCAAGCAGCTACATTAAGTCTCTCTCTTTGGTCACTCCTTTCATGTTGTATGCAGTTRAATGAAGAAGGGGGGTTGACCCTTGCAACAAGGTCAAGAGGTAGTCTTTGCATTCCTAAATTCCAAGTCATCTGTCTTCCCCAATAAGTGACACCAAATYAAAATGGCAGAAAAAGGATAACCTATTGGAGGATCACTGAGAAACTCCAATTAAGGCATTCTTCTGTGTTTTCCTACTCCATTCCCAGTTTATTTACTCACACCTTGSATGGCCCACAGACCCTACCTCTGCAGAAAAAAAGGTGTAAGGTGTMAGTATTTACACACCAGCCTGTATAAATACTTTGTAGACAGTTGGGACCAGGAGTTATTGAGTCTGTAGAGCAGAATCTAGCTCAAAAAAATTAAATTTCAGAAGTTCAGACATAGAAAACCAGTTTTCTTCCTTGCAGGCAGAGCTTTTGCTTGTGGACAGCATTTATATGCCCCCTATATATACCTAAGGGGGCAAGAGCAGATGTATGTGTCAGACCATCCTTCCAGATCTGGGGCTTGTTTTGGACTGTGTAAGCTTTTCCCAGGGGATGTGGTGGGAGAGGGCATCTTCTGTGTATGGATTCAGTACAGCACCATGACTTGAGCCTCCCTAAAGAGCACTGCAGTGTTCGTGGTGGCTTTGCCTTCTTTAGCTGAGCATGTGTCTGAASGGCATCCCAGCTCTTGGCCCTTCCTTGGTGACCGGGGGTGCCTCAGTCAAGTGCACATTTGTTTCCCGACTTGGCAGCTGTTACAAACACAGTAGATGTGGTCACCTCCACCCACTGCAGGTGACTGACACTACCATGCTCCCGTTGGCTTGGCGTAACTATCTTGACTAGGGGAGAGTCAATTGTGGTGAGGTAAGTAAAGAAACATAGATTGGTGATCTGTAGTTGGTGCTACAACACCTGTAGTAACAGCACAGTTTTTAAGGCTGTGAGAGATGGACTTTTAGCACTGAGTCATAAACTTATGTAACTCTGCTATCTGCTCAAAACATGCAGCAGATCCATCTGTGAGATACACCGATACACAAGCGGTTTAATGAAAACATTTGATAGGCCCTATGGTATCATCAGAGCACATAGAAAACTGAGTATTTTTTGTCTAAGTGATTTTTTTCTAAGTGATCTTTCTCATTTCTGGGTGGTGTAAGGATTTTTTACAGTTGTATACAAGATTGGCTTTGTCCTTCTAGATGCTGGTTGTTTTAAGAAAAAAAAATTTTTAGTAATTTTTTTTTTTACATTTGATTGGTATATGTTTGGGTTTTTTTAACGAAACRTTCTTTCATAGGCTGTTAAGATTCTAACATTAAGAACAGTTGAACCAGCTAGTACACAGCGAGTTTGGCRTAGCATTCCCTGCATCACCAGAACCATTCAGCTTAATATATCTTTTTCCCTAAGCTACATCTTTCTGATGTGCATAAATTTTACATTTATGTAATTAGATGTGTATCTGTATTAACAACCCTTCCTGGAGCTGTTGGTTATAGTCAAAAACTGTTACCACACAGTATGTCTATTGGTAGGATAAATAGTCCTGGTTTCTAAGATTTTGAAGACAGGCCAAGAAGGAATCTTTGTTCTGGAATCTGTGAAGTTTAAGCCTGTTAAGTCTAAGATAAGGAATGCTTTTTCATCCCTATTAGAACTTCTTAGTTTCTTAAAGGGTTCTATAAACATTGACTTGATCTTAAGTTACGTGTTCCTCTCAACAGCACGTGAGTTTGGACATTTACCTAGGTTTCATTTATTTCTTATTTCTTATTTAGATATGGCAGGGCAGTTGGAACTAGACCATCTTTAAGGTCTCTTCCAACCCAAGCCATTCTGTGATTCTATATGTGAACATATATACGATGTTAGTGTTTAAAAGCTTCCTCTGCACTGTATTCTGTGTGACTCTCCTTCTTCTTCTTCTTCCTCTTCTTCTTCTTCTTCTTCTTCTTCTTCTTCTTCTTCTTCTTCTTCTTCTTCTTCTTCTTCCTTCTTCCTTCTTCCTTCTTCTTCCTTCTTCCTTCTTCCTTCTTCTTCCTTCTTTTCTCCCTCTTCTCTCAGGTCTTCCTTCCTTATCTCAGATCCTGACTATATCTCACTATCTTTTTTCCTTCCTTTCTATCTCCTTCCACCCAAGATGGACTCTGAATTTTGAAAATTACCCATAGAAAGGGATCTTCTGCTTTTCAGGGACTGCAAAATCCTGCCATTACAGTCCACATAGGCAGCCACTGATCTTTCTGAAAAGCAGAGAAAGATCCAAGGCAGCTTTTAGCCTTGTATTCCACTGATGGGATGAATTAAAAGTTGTAACCAGGATTTTGCATRTTCCTGCCAGTTGCTGCAGAAGCTTGCGTTTGGTTGTACATGGACAGTATTTCTCAGAGATCAAGCCTGATTCTTCTGTCGCTTACATTTGTGTGTCTGTGAGTCCAGAATCGGGCCCATAATAGTTTAGCATTGACTCAGGAGACTTGACTGCATTATTTTAATACTTCTTTACCATATGAGTTGTTATTAAAATAGTGCCTGCAAGTAGGAATACCCAGAGATACTAGTACATCATGTTAACCTATTTTAAGAATAATCACTTGTTTTACAGTAGCACATTTTTTGAACCAAATTGTGAAAACGGTGAATGACTGTCAATGTCTTGAATATCTTGTCCGTAGGTGATTGTCCTTTACTCCATAATTCTCAGCCAGTCAGCCAGCTTCCTTCTCTGAGGCCTGACCATCATCACTACCCAACTATCGATGAGCCTCTTCCACCAAGTAAGCTTTAGTTTTCTAATTTTTATGCATTTTTTCAGCTTTTCCTGTTTTAACAGTCTAGAGGTCAGTATGTTTTTCTAAAGAACCCCATCTGTTCTGTATGTACATTCTTCAGAACCCAAGCAATATACCCTTTTGTTTCCCTTGTTTGATTCTGACTTCAACTGTTGTCGTGTTATTTTGGACAAGCTCCACACACCCCCTCTCTACCTTGGTCTGACTTCTTCCCTGAAATGAAAGTATTATTCCCTGTTTCCAGTCAGTGTGTTCAGACTTGAATGCTTGGGATCTGTCCGTTGTTCTGGAAGCCTTACTGTAAGGCTTTCTGGGTGGTGTATCAGCAATGTGCTCTTACATCCTGTAATGCTTGTTTCCAGGTTTTCTGTAACCAACTTCAAAGATGGTTTGGGATGGCAGTCCCTGTGGTCTGCATGCAGGTGCAAAAGAAACCCTTTCACAGTCGGGATACTCCTGGGACAGGCCAGGAGTATCCCAAATCTGAACCAAACAGCAGAAGTTGGGAAAAGGCAGCTTAATGTACAGTGGCCTTGTTATCTTGTCTTTGGATTTGATAATCTGTGAATTTTATGTTCATTATGGACTGTGGTGGAGTCTATACTTTCATTGAATAAAAATGAGAGGACTTTAAATAGCGATCGAATAACAGCCTGGTACTACGGGATTCTTACCACTGAATCAACTGCTGGAGTTGTTTTCTCTTGTCTCTGTAGCCTTTCCCTCGTGTATTCCCGGAGGATTGCGCTGCTTTTTGCACTGGCGTTCGGTGCCCAGCAGAGCGCGCTCTGTGCCCTGCAATGTGCTGCTGATCACCTTTCAACTGAGCGCAGGAATTCACAGCCTGAAATGTGCAGTGCCTCACAAAAACAACCCGGCGTRTAAACAAAGCACTCTATTGTCTTCAAAGCCCAAGACGGGAACACACTTATTTGGCCTATGGTGCCCTTGACAAATAATTCATCATTTGCCAACCATGCTGTCAGTATTCCCTGAGCTGAAAATAGCCCTGATGCTGGCGTCAGCTGTGCAGTAGCATGAATGATTCAAATGCCTTTAGCCCAATGAAGTCTTATTAGAGTCCCACTGTGGCTTGCCAGTGAATGATGAAATGGGAACRGTTACCTCTGGAACAGGGAAATATTTCTCTTCTTCCCACTCTTACCACAACACTTTGTAGCTAGGGCACATTCCCCATTAAACAACTTAATGATAGCACACTGACACCAGCTTGGGTAAACAGAATATACTSTGAATCTACTCCATATTCTTCCTTCACCAATTTAATATATTTTTCCTCTTTCTAATAGCTATCTTCGAAAGGCAAGTATTCTACCATTGGTTTTCACAAGTGCTTTAACATCAGAGTTTGAGGACATGTGATGATAGAAGTACAGAAGTGATATCTCTTTGTAGGATTTTGTTTCAGTGTTAGAATATAGCATCATTTTTACAATAAAGGCTGACACTGTGGGCTTAAATATATTGWTCTTAGTAGGACTAGACTGTTCTAAGTTAATTTTGAGCGGGAAAGAAGGTTGAATTGAATAATATCACTTAGGATACTGGTTTCCAAAAACTCTTCATGGAATATTACTTTAATTTCAAAATTAAAACCATAGCCTTAATCTAGAAATTTTTCTTCTCCTTAAATTCAGTATCGCTGTCACAGTGTCTTTAATGACTCTTAATCCTGGATTAATAGTTCTTCAATCATGTGAAAAGAAGAAATCTTTTCAGCCCAAGTCATGTGATCAAAGCTGGCTTACTTCTCACATGCAGTGTTAGCTTCCATCTATAAGTAGAGGTGAAGGTAATCTTCCAGTGCTGAAAGTTCAGCATTGACTGATTTTATTTAGGTCATGGAGAATCTTCTGGACAGTCTTCTTTCTCTTTTGAATAGTTTTCTAGATAGCTTGATTTAATCAAAACCCCAYAACAGCTGATCTGAGGGCGGAAACTTAATTTCAGACCATTTTATTTGGGAACATAAAGAGGAAAAGATCCATTATTTGTGTAGGAGTTTCATRGTGACCAGTTTGAATGCTAAGTCCRATASGAGATTTACAGATTTGCCGCGTTTGCACGGCCTCATGATGGCATTACCAGTCACCTCTTMTTATACCTGTGTTTGGAAACCCTACAGAACTGAAGCCAAGAAAAATACATGTTCAGAGCCCAGTTCAGAGCTTCTCTTTCCCGAAGGTGTGGCTGGGCTTGGAAAGAGAAAGAAAATGTATTTTTTTTTTTGCCCTGATAGTCCTGTCTGAAAATGTTGCATCTTCTGATATAAATCAGAGCAGTTTCAGAGGCTGCTGTGAAATATGATTTGGCTGATGGAGGGAGATCACTGGAAAACAGAACCAGTACTGTCACGTCCCTAACCCGTGCTCTAGCATGCTCTTACTGTGAAGGTTAGATGGGGGTTAGTCTTTGTAGTAGTCACAGTCTTATTTTATCTGAAAAACTTGACACCCTGAGGAAATTTGCCTGCTTCCTAGATCGCCTATGCCCCTGAAGTAGCATGAAGGGACTTGAGCACAGCTCGGAAGCCGTTCACCTGTCTGCCTGTTTGTCTTGCTGCACAGGTATCCATCCATCTGTCCATGAATCTGCTTTCATGTGCAGGCAGCTTCAGTGACTTGTGTTACTTACAGGTTGTCTTATGGGAAGACAGAAAGTACACCTGCCACCTGCATACAACAAAAGGTGTACCTGCCACCCTCTTATGGCCTTCCCAGGTGACCAAAAGAAGAGTTACTCAGCTGATTRGAAATGCTATTGCAAGGAGTATGAAACACACTGTTCCTAATATTYTAGCATGCCAGAGTCAGCCCATGGYTTCAGGTGGACAGAGCCATAAAACAGTAAATAAAGCAACACTCACTGACAGGTGTACATACTGCTGCCCTCTGTTTGACACATCTGACAGAGACAACCTTCCTGAAGTCCTGTCTTACCTGATRTTTTCACTGTGATCTCCAAGTTCTGGACAAGCTTCCTTACTCCCAGGTTTCCAAGTATTATGCTTAGAAGCTTAAGAACTCTAAGTTGTATTTAATTAGATACTCACTGCAAAATAGCCTTTAGAGCTAGTAGTGCACAGGGCTGGATTATGAAATCTTGTTTGACTGTGTAACTGGATATATTTACTCTTGCTAAGTGTACATCAGCAGGCTTTTGACCAATATGACCAGTTGGTGTCTTCTGTAGGCTGTCTGGAAAATGGTTCTACAGCATTGCCTACAAGTTTCTAATTTTCTATCGACCTGTATTATTCTTAACTTGTTACAAGGTACAACAATAGTACAGAGTGAGGGCTAAGATTTATCCTTTGCCAGAAAACAGCAAGGAAAATTAAGATCTTCGTGATATGGAGCTGGATCATCTTACCTTTTATCTGGCCAAGGTTATTTCCTTGAGGTTATTGCAGATAAACCATAGCTCCAGAAGGGCCATTCCCCATYCACAGTGGTACACCAGCACCAGTGTGCTCAGCAAGGCTCTGGCCTTCGACCGCCTTATGTCAGTCTGATTTACCTTAATGTGCATATGTTGTACTTGATGTGCTTTTTTTCACTGTCTTATGTTTTAGACATGGTTTTCACAAAGCTGTGATCTTGTTCCTGAAACAGCTGCCACATCCTTGGGAAACTTTACCTGGTGGAGGAAGAGAGTCCTCTCCTTAAATTATGTAGTGATATTCAGAGTGAGAGATGCTGCATGCGTACCCATGATGTGACTATAGGGTTTGAGTCTTTAAGGACTTGCAGTCAGCTTTGAAAGAAGTAATGCATGTGCAAATGGCTGTTGTTTTCTTGGAGTCTTATAGAAAATTTCTCCAAGGACTTATAGCACCCATCTTTTAAGATTTGTGGGATTCAGCTGTCAGGGGGAGCTAGCCATGGCATTCAGACAGCCTACACTCGTCTGGGATCAAATATGTGTAGTGGTTTTAGCCAGGGCCAGCATTCAGGGGATGGGAACTGGTCGTGAAGGATAGGTTTCCAGATATAGTAGTAAGAGGTGCAACTTCAGTCCTGCTCTAAGAGAAAAGGAAATGAAATACATAAAGTATGAGATACAGCTGATCCTGAATTTGATCGTAGAAAACCATAGGAGTGAACTCGTCAGGGAAGATGGTATCATAGTAAGAATATGGGAATGTGAGAAAGTGTTTGCCCTCAAAGGTAATCACCATATGTGCATTTGTGTGTGAATGCGAGTGAGGTTTGCATCTAAACTTGTGTAGAAAGTATGTGCATGTATTTACATAGATATATCATCAGAAATATGAAACTAGCAAGCCTAATTTATTCCACTTCTCGATGCATTCCAATCAGGTTGATACGTGGCTTTGCTAGCTAACTCACTACTGAACTTCTGTTCCAAATGCTTTTTTTAATCAACATTACCATTTTCCACAAGCCATCATATACCAAATAATTTTTTGTTTTCAATCATGGGAMAACATAAACAATGATGGAAGGCTCAATATTATTCTGCAAACTCTCAATCTAATTTGCATTCATRAGAGCAATAGATTTATGGTACTCTGTTTAGAGAAATTTCTAAGGTATGTCYAAAGAGTCTGTGGTCAGTTTTCAGTGAAGGTTTTAATTGGTTTATGGTGTCCTTTGAAGCCACTTTGCAAAAAGGAGAGGAAGGAAACATGTTTGTTCTGAAACATAACAAAAAAAAGAACACATGGGATTTACCATATTAGCTCACATGTAATCTRCTTGTAAGGGTCGATTCTTTGTGGCTACTCTGACCTGCAGTGAATCCAGCCAACCAGTATCACTAGGTGAAAAATTATCTCACCCTTTCAAAACTRTAGCCCCTATCTGTCACTAGATTTTCATGGGCTGTGATAGTGAATTCCATGGCCTTACCTGTGTGCTRTGTACGAAATGTTTCTGTATATGCATGTACTGCAAATATGTATATATAGACAARCAAATAATATATATACACACTTGAAGGTATACTTTGAATATATACATGTGATATATGTTGCATGTAGGCTATATGTATATATATTATGTAGTATCTCCTGTGTGTATATACCCTGTCTGTGTATATGTGTGTGTCTGTACATATCTCCCACACACAGGTTTTCTGGAAGGCATCACACTGACAGCATCACCCCTTGCTTTTTTTCTGACCTAGATTGGGAAGCTCGGATAGACAGCCACGGGAGAGTGTTCTACGTGGATCATGTCAACCGCACCACCACGTGGCAGCGCCCCACGGCTGCAGCGACRCCCGACGGGATCCACAGGTCTGGCTCCATCCAGCAAATGGAGCAGCTGAACCGCCGGTGAGCATTTGCACCCGAATTCCTTTGGCATCTGTGCTCTCCTTTTTCCACACTGCTCCAGTAGCTCCCTCCCTTCTTCAATCCACCTTGTCCAAGTTCTTGTCCCTCCTGCAGCTCTATTCCAGCCTGCTGTGGGTGTGTGCTGCTCAAATCTGCCCACAGGAGCAGTGCCATTGGGAGAATGATGGTGCAAAACGTTTCACACAGCAAGAGGTGGGGTTTGGAAAACTTCCCTGAAATGAATACTAGAAGGGAAGGGAGTGTTCTTCCAAAACATGGAGTCACTTTTCTATTTAACTGTAGGAGTGGTTTGATGGGTTGGCACCCTAGAGTTTTCGGAGCTGACTGCTCCTGGAATTGTTGCCATATCCGTGTGGCATTCCTACCCAAGCTAATTAAGCCTGTTGAAAGGTCTGTCTCCTTTTCCACGGCAGAGCCCTGCTCTAATAGGACCATGCACATTTCTGGAGGTAGACAGGTCTGCTTAGTGTTGCATTGGGCCCTGTAAATCCGTCAGTTTATTATGAGCTGGCTGAGATACCTCTTAATGTCGCTTATATTTTTGCTTTTTTTTGACCACTCCACACACAGATTTGTTTATCTTTTTCTTCTCATTCTTACTTTTTAGACTAAATTTGAGAGGAAAGAGAAAAAAAAGAAGGGTCAAAAATCTTTCCTTTCTTTGCTTAAAAAGAGGGTTTGGGGTTTTTTTTTTTTATTCCATGCTTACTATAATGATGTCATTCTTAGAAAAGGATAAGCAAAACTGAAATTATATTTAAATTGTAGCATGTAAAATGGCACCAAAGTGTTTTGGCCTTTTTTTTGTGTGCTAAAAGAAAGATCTGCAGCTGACAGAAGGAGGCAGAGTTTTAAGTACTTTTCAGAGTACTTTGAATAGTTTGGGGGCTTTGTTCCCTGAATGGGGCAGTCTGGGAAAACAGGGCGAACTCAAATTGACACCATGAACATGCTCTCTAGGAATAATCTTTTTTTTACCAAAATTCATTATTTTGAGTAGCACTTCATAATGTGTTATGAAGTTAGAAAAGAGAGAGAAGAGTTGGAAAAGAGAGAGAATTTGCTCAATGTTTGTTTTCATTATRGCTTTGCTCATAAAGTCTCAAGCTGTCATGTTAATATAAAAAAAAAATCTAAAGAAAGTGAATGTTAAATGTAGATTCTTTCAAGGGATTTACCTGACTTCTCTGCCATTTAGCATTGGTCTTCAAGAGGAAATTGAGCCATGTCAGAGATCAGACTATTTGGCTGCCACTTTAACATATTATCTGCCACAGAAAGCAGAAAGCTGTTGTGGGCATGCATCAGATTATTTTAAATTTTTTTTTGAGGTTTAACACACTTAAGAGCAGCACAATCACAAAAGAAGTAAGTGCTTATAAGAGTGATATACTATTCTGTCAGCTAATGCAGGTTAATCATTAACCCAGCTATCACAGCAGAAACGGAAGGGTAGGTGTTGTCTTTGTGACCTCCTTCCCTCATATAATTCAATGCTTTTTTGTAGGCTGCCTGTCTTGGCTGTGACCTGATTATCGCTTGTTTGGGTTGGGAATTGAGAGTTAAAAAGATTGATATTCTTTGAATCTCTCAATTTTTAGTATTCATATATCCAGTTACAAAAAGAGACATAGGGAGGGTTTTCAGCACAGGCAAATCTCTGCTTACCCAAGTTCTGTTGTAAACTAACCATTTTGCAGTTTATTAAACATGAAATGTCATGGCTTCTTGGGACTAAGGCAAAAGCTGGCAATTCTCTACTCTGTGCCAAGGAGCTCTATTGATTTGAGAAGTTGAATACAAAAGTCCTCTGTTGTTGCCAAGTTTGGAACATTTCCTAAGATTCTAATGAAAGGGATTCATACTGAATCTTCTGAGCATTTGGCAGTGGCAAGTCATTTCTGTAGTTTTAATCTGGCTTTTATTTTTTTTTTTAATTATTGTAGTCCTAAATCTAATTTCAGGTATTTCATAATTTCAGATATTTCATGTCACCATATTTCAACAATGTCAGGAAAGTTACTTCTCATTAGTTATTGTCAACACTGTGGAGGACTGGACTTCGTTCTAAGCATTTATTTTAGAAATACTGTTTTGTTGTGTTTCAAATTTCATGATTTGTAATGTTTTTCAGCAAACACATCTGAGAATCACGTTAGGTGATAGCATAGCAAGAATAGACCTTTCTGACAGAATTAGCAGCAGCCCAAACTTTTGCTCTAACCTCAAACAAAATTTGGGCTCAACATCACTCCACAGTTTGAAAAAGTTTGGTGACTTTTCTTTTTAAACCAATTTACTTTTTTTTTTTTTTTTTTTTTTTTTTTGCTTCCTGGTTTAATTTGTGGAAACGAATGGAAAGACTAAATTACAAGGAAGCTTGATATTTCCAGCCCAGCCAAAACCACAAAGCTCTGGAAATTCAGCTTGAAAAAACCCCCATAGCTGTGATTAAACCTAGCCCTGCTTTCCTGCTGTGCTCCAAGCTTCCCTTTAGGTGTACAAGCCACTGGAGGATACAGGGACTGAAAAACTGGAATGCAGGTGTTGGGCAAACACCAAAGAGACATCCATAGTTTTAATKTTAAAGGCTCTTGCTCATTTTCTGCAGCACTACTCGACTTGATTACTTGTTGGCCAAGCAGATAATAGCCCTTGTTGTTCAAGCTCTATTGAAAGGATCCTTTGCAGCATATGTATGTCTGCATTTGTCTTTGCACTTGTCTGAGAGATAAAAATCAAGGTAAGAAATTATAACCATCAAAGTTGGGCCAGCCACAGCATGGTATTTCTTAACCTCCATTTCTTTGACAAATCACTTTGAAAGGAGACCGAAATTTCCAGAGGCAGTCCCATAACTTCCGCACTTTCAATGTTTTCTCCAATTAGTTTTGACTTTTTTTTTAGTATTTGTATAAGGTGCTTTTATAGTATTSAGACGCAAAAGAAATGCGTAGCCTTTTGTTGGCATACAGCTGGTGTTGCTCTTTGAGGTTTGCCAGTGGGGATTTTCTCCCATCTAATTAAATTGAAGGTACAGTGTCTTTCTATGTGTGTGCTTATATCCCTTAATTACATGAACTTGGGGGATTTTGTGGTGTTTTTGKTTTTTTTTTCTCCTTTCTGTTGCACGTGGGTGTTGTAAAACTCCTCCAGTACTGGAATGGAAAGTTCATCCCCATTGCCTGCAGTCAAGTGAAAAAAGCTGTAAAATGTAGGTATAAAATAGAGGATTTAAAACTGCAGTAAATTCATGCTGTTGCAAAACCTGCTGTAAGAATTCCCTTATAAAGATGGATGTGTTCTTAAATTATCAAAATATACACTAAATGTAGCTTCAAATGACTGAGTACTGGAGGGGGACACATAGCATTGTGAAAGTTTAGTATAAATCTATTAAAACTTAAACTATTTTTCTTAATTATCTCCAGCCCTTTTGCCTAAGATTGGGTTGCAGTGAGCTGCAAGAGATGGTGGKTTTTGAGACATCAGAAAGCCAAATCATAACTGCTTGTCTTTAATGATCATGTGTCACTTTGAGGAAACAACTCATGACTAACTCCTAATTTGGAATAAAGTGTGCATTAACAAATAAAGAGAGAGAAAGTAAGTAAAATCCATAAGTCAGAACTTGAGTGAAGGAAAGAAAGAGTGTAAGTCACAAAAATGAAAGACAAACAGTGCCAGATCAGATTAAAAGCAGACAGTAAAGCCATTCTGTTTCAAATACACATGGCAATGCTATAAAGAAAGAAGGATTAAAAATACTGGGATAGAATAAAAGCTAATTAAAATAATTAGGAGAGTCTGTTTTCTAGTTCTGCTTTTCTTTTTCTCGTTCTTTCTTTCTCCTTATGCTCTCTTTATCTTTTCTTTCTCTCTCTCTCTGTATAAWATGCATTTATAGTACATATAAGACATATTCATAGTTTGCCAGGAGAACCAATGAAAATGTGTTCACCAATTCATCTGTCACTGTGATAAAGGAGTTAAGGAGGATTTGATTTCTGTAATGTGAATTCAAAACACTCCAGGCTGTTTGTTCCTCATTTGGTATTTAGGACTGGGCTCATCCTAAGACTGTGATCAATTCCATTGACTAATATAGCAATTAGTTCTATGATTAGTATGGAAATGACATTATTATAGGGTTTAAAGAATTCACAGGTTTTTATTCAGAATTTTCTTCCTCATCCTCCTCTGTTCTTTGTTTGTCTTATGTTGTTTCCTCTTCCTTATTCTACAGCTGGTCACCACCCAACCTAAATGCCCAATCYGTCTGTTTTCCAAAAATGGACATAACACTTTCGTCCTCACACTGTTCACTCAGCTCACATGTTACAGCYTATTCTGCTTTTCTGTGGCTGTCATATCAATTAGATTGCAGCTCTCTGAGGTGACCMACTCACTAGTTTACATTCCATCTTGCCTGCCAAAATGCAAGTGTTCACAATTGCTGGCCATGCAGCATCATAATAAACATTTTGTGAGCATTCTTAGTAACCTTTACTTTTTCAGAGTTGAGGATGTGCCTGCAGTAATTTAATAAGAAAGACTGAAGAGTCCTCAGCACACCACAGGGCTGATCCTTACTTCACTGGTTATGCTTCCRTAAGGCTAAATGAGAGGAGGAATCATGATCCACCTCTAGTTTTAGGTTCCAGGTGTCCAGAGATTTTAAAGGGAAGCCTAGTAGTAGCAACACATAGCCTAAAGATGTATCTGAAGTTTGAGTATTCCTGGCTTGGCACCCTCTGTAGCTGTTTGTCAGTCACTGCAAAATGCCAAGTTTGCAGAGTGCTGGCTGGCCCAAGCGTGAGCAGCTGCAGCAGCTGCAGAAGGATCAGCTCTGCTCTTACTCTGTTGTATGCTGGAGATAGAGATATTGGAATCATTCAGAAACAGTGCTGATTGTTAAGGCAGAAAGCAACAGAAAGCTCCTCTGTTAACTAAAGCTTGTTATTCCTTCCAGGTACCAAAACATCCAGCGAACCATTGCAACAGAGAGGACTGAAGATGATGCTGTGGTAAACAACAGGGTGGAGAGAGTTCCCACTGGAGGAGCAAGTGACTCTGAGACAGAGCCTTCCCAGCCAAGCCCAGGTAGGGAAAACAAAGCTGAGTGGCATGTTCAGTGCCATTCAGTTCTGGGGAAATCTGCAGTTCCAGGGGAGACTGGAATTTTATTATACAAGGTTGAAAAACAATTTAAAAAAAAAAAGATAATTAGACCTGAAGATATAGTTTTTAGAGTGAAGCTACAGGTACAAAGCTGGATACGACAGTATCAGTTCTTTTTTAACATCTACTAGGACAGAAAATGCATTTTTACCTCAGTAAAGGGCTATTTGAAATGAAAATGGAAGATGCATTTTGCAATTACTAGGTGAATACTATTCACCTAGTAGTTGCAAAAATGGTTGCTGTCTTATTTTTGTGATTTTTAATTGGGGCATTTGGAGTTTATTCTCTCTGGGCCTGACTTCTGCACTGCCATGTTTGCCTGTGTGATTGCACCTGCAGTGGCCCTGGCATCATGTATGAAATACTTGTGTTTTTTAAAGCTGCAGTTTTGTGATAGCTGTGAGCTGACCTAAGTGTGGGCTGTCACTGAAGGAGGCACAGCTGTCTTTTTGCTCACCACTAATTTATGTGACAGGACCCCATACCAGAGTGGAGAGCTGGCCTGTCTGAAAAATAGCCTGGCTTCTTGTCCTTGTCATTTGCAGCAAGATTGAATGTTTCATCTGGTTTGTTAGATGAGAGTTGCTACAAAGCAGAAGGGGAAATTGCGTACCTAAGGCAAGATGGGATGGCAGGGGTCTCTTCTGCTATTTTGGTGGTCACCACATTCCTATTTTCTCAGAACATTTGGGAAACCATACTCTTAAGTGTTTCAGGTAGGAAGTATCAGCAGTCAGTCTAGTGCCCACTATGCAGCTTGAAGCCCTGTAAAAGTAACTTCTCCTTAGTTAGCACCAGCAAAATAGTGAACCAGTTCTCTTCATTAGGATCACGCTTACCTCCACCTAGCTTTGTGTTCTGTACTGTCTGCCATGAGTAAATCCAATTTATTGCTATCCTTTTGCCATTCCTCTGTAAATTGCTTTGGTAATAGGAAAGAATCAGCACAACACCTGCTTGAATTTTCTTAGTTTTCCATGTTGAATAGAAAAAATTACACAGAGAAATAATGAACTTCTTTTAACAAGTTGAGAAAAATATTCCATTTGGTTTGTTTTCAGCTTGAAAAGCAATTCTGACCAGGGATGTTTAACATTTGATGCTCAAAGCTTCCTTGTCATCTTTTGTATTGCAGTTAAAGGGAGACTTTTACCTACAGTGGATCTTATAAGGAGATCCCAGTTTTCTGTGTTACASAAGTGGAAATGGATACACATTGTATTATTATTATTTACAAGTAATGCAGCCATTACTTGCATTATGTATAATCATTTAGTATCATAGACAATATGATTAAAATAGTAACTTAATAAGAGTTGCCACCAGTAAGTATTTAGCTGCATTTTTTATGTAACATGCACTCTTCTGTTTTAAACCCAAAGGGCTAATGAGTGTGAAAAATGTTATCGTAAGTTATTAGGAAATGGGTTTTGCTATAGATAATTGCTTTGCTTTTAGAAGAAAACAGCAATAKTGTGTAAATTGCCAAGAATTAGAAGGTCTGTGATGGTGTAAACACATTAGGGAAAGAAAAAGCTTTTGTTATTTGTCTTTTCATTAAAATGAAAAATGTCAGAAGGAATACAATTTAGGCACATTAATCCAGTTTCTAAGCCAATATAAATCAATTTATCTCCAGCAATTGATCCAGTCTACAGTTTTAAATGGATAAAATAATATGTTGCATGCAGCAGGATGAAAAAAAGAAGTTATGATTGCAAGAAAAAATGGGAAACTGTTCTGTTGATGAAATCTGCATCCAATTTTCTTGGACTGCAAATAAAATTTGGCTTTATTTGAAAATGCCAGAACACCCAAGCCATAATTCCATGGTAGGAAGAACTTTTCTGGTCTCTACAGAACGTCAGAAGTTTCTACCTCTACAGAATTACATTCTCAAATGCTCAGTTCTGCTCCTATGCCTCATTAACTGATGCAGAGTAAAAATAATGCAATTGTGTCTTGTTTTCTTCTGTTTACTTTGCCATACAAGTCCCCAAAACCATGGACTTGTCAAAAACAGCGCAATTAAAGTAAAGGGTAATGATGGATTGGGAGACCAGATTTCTCTAAAATCAGTCCTGGGAGGAACCACCATGGACCTGGGAGACTGAACCAAACCATCAGCTGTTAAAAACTGCTGTGGTCACATGATATTTAGGGACAGCAGCAGACCTGACACAGTTTCATTACCTACAATTCAGGAAACCATGCAACTCATGCACTGCTGTGTCAAACACTGCACCATGAACCATAAGGACATCTGTCAGTTTGCCAGCAGGCTTGTCTTGGGAATGCCAAGGTAGGTGCATTGGGCAGGTGGTGACTATTTTTATGTCATCACTTTTGCAGCTGTTACTGAAAGGTCAGTACATTAATGAGATTTTGTAACTTGTTTTTTTTGTCCAGAGATTAGGAGGGAAGGTTCCCTCTCYCCCGTGAATTCTCAAAAAATCACCTTGTTGCTGCAGTCTCCAGCTGTGAAGTTCATCACCAATCCTGAGTTCTTCACTGTGCTGCATGCGAACTATGTGAGTAATTATGATTTGCTCTCTCACCCTACTGATTTCAGAGTCCCAGTGCTGTGCCCCAAACCTTCAGGGAGAATGCACAGTGKATCTGAATTGTGTGATTTGGGGCTCAGTTGTCCTTTCTGAACACGAGACAGGTTGRGGACATTACAGTCAGGCTGCTCCAAGGAGGCTCTTGCTGGGATTCTGCCTCACACGAGAGATTCAGAGAAGCTTATTAATGTTATTTTCCCAGAACAAGCAGGAACCCCTGGTTTCAGCTTGGTTGATTCTGCTGCTGCAGGTAATGAAGTTGTTGCCTTTTGAGCCAACATCTTACTTACGAGATGTTACTTATATACTTACAAAAGAAATCTTACTCAGACACCATCAAGTCTCAGGGAAATAGAGGGAAAAAATTAACTCTTGCAATTTACATTCCCATGAAGCTGGCAGGCATAATGGAGTGAAAGAAATACTGCCTTGAGTTAGTGCAGCTATTTCGGGAAAAGCACAAATAAAATAAAATTTTCAAAATTCAAATAACTTTTGGTTTTATTAGCGCATAAAAACTACTTCTTTTTGCAAATGTGGAGTGGAAAAAAAATGTAATATCAGGAGGAAGCAGATAGGGAAGTCCCACAAGGAGATGCAGTCCTAGTTGGTCAMAACTGAAATATAGTTCAACAAGGCATCTTCATGTGACTTCTGAATGTTTGGAAAGTCATCCATTTTGKGKTAGCGGTGATGTTTCTTTTGGAAASGAAAAGAAAGTAAAACACTTTGAGGCTTACCCCAGCASAGRTTTTTAGCTAAACTACAGACAWYGGGTTTTGGCACTTTGTGGTTTGAAGCCAGCTGTCCATCTCCAAGCATCTGCCAGAGATTATCACCCATGAGATTCTGCCCAGGAAGGGATACATTAACTCATCTGACATTCCCCGAACTAGGTTATGGAGTGCAGGTAATTTCTTCTATTGACAGGGTGATTCATGGTGATTTATAGCTCGAAGCAATATAATTTGTGACCAACATAGTTGTTGGAAAAATGAGCAACTGATTCCATAGTCATGTAAGGAACAGCTCACAAGGGACTAAATCCCAATTTTATTACATAGTGAATTTTTTACAAAAAAGCAAAAAGAGGCCGTCAGTTTTATTTTGTAAACTTTTCTCTAATGTGAGAACCTGGATAATCTATTGAAACATGTGTCAAATGGTCATACAGATTCCACTTGTATGGAATAATGGCCCACATAACTTTTGCCTTAGAACAAGTGTAATATTTTAACCACAAGCTGCTATTAAAATTTCAAGCTATTAATTATGCCAGCAAAGTTGGGATTGGAAAATATTATCCAGCAGTTAGAATTAAAAGGGAAAGCCTCTCATTTTTCACATATTTTATTTCCGTAAAGAGATAAAACTGCTTTACCCTCCTTGTTTCCCTAATGCTGCTTAGAGATACTCAAGACAGTCATTGATCATACATTAGATCAAAATACAACTTTTGTTATGTAGTAGGCTGAGATCTTAAAAATCTGTGACCATGAAGCTTTCCTGGGTTATAAGCAGGTCATATCTTCAGGGCAGTGATCATATCTCTGTGATTTCATAACATTTACCAACCCTTGCCATAATTAGGGACTCTGTGCTACAGGGTGTTTTCTCAGTGGTGCCATCACAATAAATCCTTACATAATAAAGATAATACCTGTAGATGTTTTATTGCATTATAATGGCTAAAATGCATTAAACATACACAGAAACTGGAATTCAAAGCTGTTGGGTTAGATTCTCTGGCCATATTCCAGGTCTGCACACTGGAGCTCACTTCACTGGAGACAGGAGTCCTCCAGTGATCCTTTATTACTCTAATGAGTAATTCAATCCTTTGGGTTGACCAGCAAACCAAGGCACTCATTTTCTTTCTCATGGAAGGCTCGGRAGATTTTTGTGAAATTTTCTACTCTTGCTCAAGGCGCTTTTTCCCTGAAGTGAAAGATTCCAAGAGTAGCCTGTGGATACGCCTGTGTGTTTTCAGCACAAGTGTTGTGGTGCTCTATCATTAAACACATTGTGACAACAAATGCAGTTYACTGGGGCCCCTATTCTGCAATCAGATCATTTCAATCACTTGAACTGCACCAGGCTACATTCCCCTGAGASGTATATTTAATGCCCAATGTGGGATACAACTTGCTGCCTGAGGGGAGACATTCATTTGACTCATGGAAATGTCTCCCTCTGACAGGCTTTGTAGTCATTGMAGAAACAAATACTCAGTTCCAGGAAAAAAAAATTTATATTCTCCAAAAATGGACAATGAAAAGTGTCTGTTCCTGTSTTCTGTGGCCGTATAGTCACCATAAATAAGGTAGCAAGCTCAGATGGAGACATCTTCACTGGGTCCTGTTAAGTTCATGAGTCCTGTCACATGCATCTCAATTTCAATTATAGCATAAAWGAATATTCTCAACTGTCTTTGTATCTCTCTGGCACTGTCCAGGCACACAAGCAGTGCTTCTGTTGACCAGTAAAAGCAATGAAAAGGGCATGACTACATGCACCTTGAGTGTGTCATGTTTCGCCTGACCATCTTTTTGAAGTGCCTTAAAAATACAGTTCTTGCACAAGCTAACCATGGATAATTTCACTTTCCAGATTGTATTTCTGTATTCTGTAATTTTACRTATGCATGTAAAGTAGACATTCAAATCAAAACAATGGGAAAATGTTTCTTGATTTTAACAGAATTTGTTTCATTTCTTTGGGCATATGTCTCGTGAAATAACCAAATACCATACTGTTTTGACATCACAACTGGTTTTCTTCACTTCTTTTATCCATCTCTTAGAGTGCCTATCGAGTCTTCACCAACAGTACCTGCTTGAAGCATATGATTCTGAAGATTCGCAGAGATGCTCGTAATTTTGAGCGGTATCAGCACAACAGAGACCTGGTAAATTTTATCAACATGTTTGCAGATACCCGACTGGAGCTTCCTCGTGGCTGGGAGATTAAAACTGACCAGCAGGGCAAGGTGAGACAGCCAAGAAAACTAATCACTTGTTTAACACAGCGCAGCAGGCTACATGACATTTTAAAGTTCCTTCCRTCTTGACTCAAAATTGGTGAAGGTTTGGCTTAAACAACACAAGCAGCAAGCAGAGTTATTTTAGAAGCAGAAAATAGCTCCAATGTTTCAAAGCATTTCTAGCTCTCTGTAGAATATTGTACCATAGCCAAGGTAGCATTGGACTGACTATGAAGTTTGAGCCAGAGTGGACCTGTTGTGACTGCAAAATTTAACTCAGTGTCTCTACCCCGAATGAAGCTTTGCTCATGGACTTCTGGAACCACCAAATAGGTCAAAGCAGTTTTTCCCAATAATATTATTCTCTCCTGTCTTTTTTACATCATGGCTGTTGCACATGATTTTGACCTACATAGGTTCAGGYATTTTCCAAGAGCTATACTAGTTTCGAGTAAGCCAGTCCTGTTTGCAGGTTATCTTCCATGTACTCTACTCACCCAAGGTATTTCCAGCATACAGTTGCCAGTGTTTTTCCCACAGTGCCATCCCAGTGCTGGCAGTCTTCTCATTAAAGAAACCATTGTGCCTTTGTGTTTCAGTCTTTCTTCGTTGACCACAATAGCCGTGCTACCACCTTCATAGATCCCAGGATCCCTCTGCAGAGCGGGCGTCTCCCAAATCACCTGACTCACCGGCAACATCTGCAGCGACTTCGTAGCTACAGTGCTGGAGAGGTAACTGTGCTCATAGCAGCTCAGGAACTTTTCACAGTAGTCCTCTCTAGAATTATAAGCACTACTTATATTTCAAAAGCATTGAAACAGTCACATGAATTTTTCACCTTCCAATAACAATAAGGGATTTTTTCTTTCTTTCTGAAGGGCTTATTTCAAGAGCTTGCTGGTAGTGAAGGTTTATATTTTGATGGTTTTCAGAATAAAATAATAAGCAAGTGAAGCATAAGTGAAGTGAAGTGATGACAAAATAGATTTTAAAAGATGAAACCATATTTGACRTCCTGGTCTTGCTTTACTTCAGTCATTCTTTTTATAGCCTCAGCCTGATATCTCCTATGTTTCTTCATTCTGCACTGTGACACTGTGCTAGGAAAAGATAGACTCCCTAGAAGAAGTGTATGCTGAGGTTTACTTTCCTAGCTTTCAGTCACATTAAATAATTTTCCTGGGCATGGAAATATTTTTCATGTGCATGAATTTTATCACTGAGGGCCTTGAACAGGATTGAAAGATGCAYACATACTGTGTTTGTGGATTTAAGTAGGAAAAAGTACCAGCAATCAGGCTCTTCATATAGCAAATCCATACAGTTGAAGATTTGTAAAGATTGTTGCTGAATAGAACTAGAGGTGAACTATGGTGAAAGGATCTTTTTCTTCCACAAAAATATCCAGAGAAATGCTTGTGAAATTAGCATCAAAATTTATTASTGAAGTCTGAATACCTCTCCCTGCCAGCTGGGGTTGGGATCAGGAGCTGACCAGGGTGTGAGGTCAGTTCTTCAGGACCAAAGGCAGACCAGGCATGAGTAGCTTGGGCATGTTTCCTCCATCTTGAGTGAATACAGCACTATATTTTCTGAAGGCAGAAATGTATCGATGGGTCTGTTTCAATCATACCTTACTTCCCTCTGCCAGCAGCCTTCAGTTTAGTGTTGCCACTGTGATTGAATTACTGGTATGGCTGTGATAGCCACCTGCAGGGCATGCTTGGGCCCATCCTTGCCTGAAGCTTGCTTACAAATTCACTATGGCAGGGCCAGAAACACCACTGAGCAACTCAGATGACCTGGCCCTTGAAATGAAAAAGACACTTGGTTATGCCAGCACTGGCAAGGCTGGCAAGGAACAATTTGCAATAAACCCAAAATAATAAATACAGGGTAGGGAGTAAAAGGTATTGAATACTTTTGGGTAATGATTCTCTAGGGAAATCATASACTGTTCTTTGAGACTGATGTTTTGGCATGATCAGCCAATGAAATAGTCACCTCCCAGTCTCAGTGGCCCAGGTCCCACAGTGCTTCTGCACCCTTGTCATAGTCAAGTGTCCTTGTTGTAGTCAGGTAGCTTCCTGTTTTGAAGTGTCTGTTGCTCCACTGGAAGGACTCCCATTGATTTCCAAGGACTTTGGATTGGTGCCTGAAAGTCCCTCATTTACGAGGAAAATATTCAGCCCTTTGCAGCTCAGCCCATTTATTAARAGCCTCATGTTCCATGCCATTTTCCCCAAGTGCATTTGGATGTTCTTTGGCCTATAAATCACGCCTGTGGATTCACATGTGGGGCTTTGTCCTGGCCATGTGTCATCTGTCTCAGTCTTGCTGGTTTCTTTGCTGAGCAGATGGTATGGCCCCTGGAAGCTGTCGCCAGGACAGTATGAAGGACCCCAMAGGGCAACCCACCAATTTTCAATGTTATGTACATATGTCAAAGGATCCTGAAGGACACTGGAATACTGAAATTGTCGGTGTCAGAAAGGGCATAGAAAATAGCCAGGGTAAGGAAATAAAGGACCTCTGTAAAAATTTCCATTGTTCTGTGTAGGTTACTGATATTAAATGGTATTATATTTAAATTGGACAACAATGCTACTGATTCTTTAGTAAGCACTTCTTTAAGGGTTATCAATTTTGTGCAGGTGAAAGGGGTTGCTGCTCTTGGTTGCCCGATTGTTGGAAAAAAAGTTCAGGTAGCTGTAATGGCCATCAGTAACTAAAAGATAGGTCATTATGTGATTCATTTCCTTCCAGCACCTCATAAGCACTTTCCATTCCCTCTAAGCAGCTTCCCATCTGCAGTGAAAATCAACATGCATGATTACAGGGTAGAGATTTTAAAGACAGCAAGAGGAAGGAAGCAGGCATCCACAATGGCGAGTCAAGAGATGCTGGTTAGCAAGAAAAGCAGAGAAGGTACTAGAATACAGCAGTWTATAAATCCCCTTACCAACCCAAAGCACAGCAAGCAAGTAGCAGGATTCAAAYAGGCCTCTGAAATCCAGCAGTGATATGAAACCTGGGAAAAGGTTTTGCATCTTGAAAGGCTCCTCTGGTAGTTAGGACCCTCCACTCCGGTTGCARCATCCCAGTATCAATCTCAAAGCTGTTAAACCCTGACATAAATCTGTCAGATTGCTCTGCACTATGTGAACCAGGTCATTAAATCATTAGAGGGGTCACTATTTTTTATTAGAGAATAATGTGCTAATCAAAATTAAATTATTCAATTAGAAAATCAAAGTAGACAAGATGATTGTGACTGTATGCTGAATTGGGGCAATCAATTGTACTCTATCAGCTRAATTGTACTCTATTAGCTAAAAGACTGGAAAGAGAATTGTTAGCAAAATGGAAGTTAATTAGACAGCTGGGAATTTTCGTGTTGCAGTGCCAGAGAAAAATTGTTTAGAAGTGTAAATGTACAAAGACCAAACACAGCATTGGCAATTTTTAGGGATGGTGATGAAGAGAAGTTCATCACCAGTTTATTATATTGAGGTGTGTACAGAACTGGATTCTTACAATCTAGATAACTTTAGCTGTTAAACTGGAACTGGGAAGATGGGAAGAGGGAGTGAAGGTTTATTTTCACAGGCAGTAGACATGGTTCCTTCCAGAATTCTTGCTTTAGGAGAAATATGTCCAGGCACTGGAAAGTAACCAAAAGCAATGGTGCCATGAGCAAGAAGAGGATCCAGGCCAGGGCTGGGCAGAAGTATCATGCATTTCCCAACTGATGAGCAAATACCAGCTGGTATTTTTATGGGAGAAATACGTTTTACTCCTCTGTTACTCCTCCCTTTYTGCCTTTCTATCTTCTGGTCAATAAATCTGTGTGTAGCCACAAGGGTGTAGGAKTTGTCTTTGTCAAGGATGAGTCAGTGATCACCTATAAAAACAGGCTCACCCACCATCCGCATTCCCAAGCAAGTCTGTTATATAAGGACCTGAGGAATAGGCATCCCCAGCTGAACTCCAGGGTTCCCTGGCAGTGCAGAAGCTGAGCACAACAATGCCTTAGCAYCATCCCACACATCCTCACTAGCAGAGCTGCTCACAGGCCAGTGCACGATTCTGGCTGTGCTGCCCAGGGAACAGCTGCTCCCACAAGGTCCTCATGCCCACTGTGGCAATGGATCATAGGGCATCCCTTGCACCAAAGCTTCCTCCCTGGGCCATAGCATAGTGAATGCCACAGAGGCCACATAGTGCATGCTGGGSTGGATGCCTGGGTCACAGGGGAAAAGCTGCCTAAGCCTAAACTAAGCTTTCAGCGTGAGTTAGCCTGCAGGGGTGTGAGGAAGAGACAAAGGCAGAAGATGGGTGCAAGTGAAATCATAACTGAATGATGGAGAGAAACCTTTTCCATGCACTCTCACAGCAGTTTCGTGTTTTAAATTGCAGTATGTTTAATTAGAATAGTTCAGACTTTTCATTSTTTAACCCATGTGTTGACACGTATCAAGTGCATTGACTGGTMTCTTGTTACATATAAACATTTTGAGTTTTATGGTTCCAAAAGGCAGCTTGCCAGTCACATTTAGCTTCTCAGTTTTTGTTTATACATGGTTGGAATACCTGGTGTTTGGCCATACCACTGAAAATGGGTTGGCACCATGTGCTTGGATGAGAGGTAAGGATTCAAAATACTGGAGTAGAGTATTTTCTTCCTGAAGTGGTTACCAAATGCTGCAATTTGTGCAGTGAGAAAGGAGTTGCCAAATGCTGCAATTTGTGCAGTGAGAAAGCATGGCAATTGGAATTCCTGATGCATCTTGTCCTGGTACCGATTATCCTCACACTGTAGTGGCAGGACAAGAGGGAGTTCAGTATTTTAGCTGAAAGAGGGTAAGTTGAGATCAGATGTTAAGAAAAAATTCTTTACTGTGAAGGTGGTGAAGTGTTGGAGCAGATTTCCCAGAGAGGCCATGGATGCTCCATCCCTGGAAGTGTTTTAAGGCTGATTTGGAGCAACTTGGTCTAGTGGAAGTGCCCCTGCCCATACCACGGGTTTTGCTGCTATGTGATTTTTAAGGTCCCTTCCAACCCAAACCACTGTGTGAGTCCTCTGTTGGCGTCACCATGGCTGTATTCTGGAGGAAAGTTTTATAAATTTGGCAAATCAGCATATTTAACAAGAATTCCTAATTAGAAGCGCAGTTAATGAGGTACTTCCCTCTTCTGGTTCACCCCTCTTCAGGACCCCCCCTTAGTACTAGCTGCACTTGGTTTATGAAAATGTGTCTCAGACTGATGGTTTTTGGCCTTGGTAGCCAGGGAGAACCAAGATAGAACAGTGGCCCCTGGAATATGTTTGGTCTTTCTTGCTGGGGAAAAGGGTAGGGAAAAAGTACTAGGGAGGTTGCAAGTATATGTGTAAAGAATAGAGAGAATATATAAAAGAAAAAAGGCAAAAGTCATTCCAGCATCATACTACAGAGATTTTATTTTTGTTGTACCAGAGAAGTCCATCRCTGCAATATCTATACTAATATGCATTTACATCTGGATTCGGGTGCCTTCACTGCCACACTGAGGAGGTGTAATAGCTGTGGGTAATGATGTACTTTCATTTGGAAGCACAGAATTACTTGCCTTTTTTAAGCTGACTGTAGTATAAAGCTGTGATTTTCATGCACGCTTTCTGTCCTTCAGTCAGCATYATGGACTGTTCTGAAGGTTACAGAAGAAGACAAATCTTTTAACTGACTGATGAGCTACTGATGGCCAGTTTTGATCATTCTTTTTCTTTTCTCTGACACTGTAGGCYTCTGAAGTCTCTCGAAACAGAGGAGTGACTCTGTTGGCCAGACCAGGCAATAGTCTCATAACAGCAATTCGAAACCAGCACCATCAGGAGGCATTACCTCTGGGTAAGCCACGTTTCTCTTTTCTTCTCAAAGCAGTGCTCACAGAGCTGGGTTCTGGGACTCCTCATCAGCCACATGCACTGCTTCATGCTGCCCTGGCAGTGCAGTCAGTGTGTCCCTGCAGAGTCATGGTGACAAGGCAAATAAAGCCTCTGGTTTGTTTTTACCTTTTCCAGCTTACAATGACAAGATYGTTGCATTTCTACGCCAACCCAAYATTTTTGAGATGCTGCAGGAGCGTCAGCCCAGCTTGGCCAGAAATCATGCACTCAGGTACCGCTTTGTTCCACACTGCTGAACTTTGCTTCCAGGAAGCGTTTTCTGTAGTGGGGAAAGCCAAATTCTAGTAACTGTAGTATAAAAGATGAACTTGGACCCCCTAGGGAAATGTCATCATTAAAGAGTAGATGGAACCACCAGGATCCATGTGGCTGCTATAGTTATTTTCCACAGACATTCAAGAAGTAAGAACCAAAATAAATATGGGCAAATAGTGACATGTCTAATTTCTATTCTGAGCATTACTGAATAGTACCAACTCTGTCTTCGCCAACAATTATCACTTTGCTTTTCAAAAGATAGAGTTAAAATATTGTTTGGATGGAAGTCAGCAGCAAAACCCCAACAACTCCAGTAAAATCAGGATTTTACTTTGTGGTTGGATTTAAACCCATGTTATGGATATAGTCACCTTAGATTTTATAAAGAAATAGRAGCATTATTATGAAGTGTATTGTATTCTTGTCTTTAATCTTTCTCACTTGACTTAAAGGTTGTCATTTCCAAAGCAGTTAAATTGTATCTTTCTTATGSCCATTCCTTTCCTAATAGATTTTTTAAAAAACAGAGCCAATCACTAGTATAACTTGAACTTGTTCAAATTCCAAAGTTTGAATTAATTGTTTTAAAAAAACAAGAACTTAAGGTGATGCTAATCAAYGTCAGCAATGCCTGCATTCATCAGCTGAGAGTTTGACAGAGTTTTGGTTGTGCTGTGCAGTCAGAGCTGTGGCTGCAGCACTGCTGAAGGAGGGAAGGAAATRCAAAGGGAGGACCTTTGAATTCCTGCAGTGTGCTTTCTGCCAGTAGCCTTACTGCCTCATCATCTATTTCTGAGGGCCAAAGAATTATTTGGGTGTAAGGATTAGACTTCCCTTCTAGAGGAATTGATACATGCAAATAWAATGAGAGAGATAGAATGAAAAATACTCTGTATTCAAGATTTACGTATTTGTAACTGAGAATTTTTTATCTTCACCATCAAATTATTATCGACTTTTTTTTTCTCAGCTGTAACTTGAATTCTCATTTCCCAGAGAACAGATAATGCTTTTATCTCCTTTTGAGCAGAGAACAAAATTGACCAGTGATAGGGACTAGACAGCTTAGCCAGTGCATAATGAGATTGGTAACAGGATATTGAGCCTTTTGCCTCCAGGTCATTGCTGATTATACCTTGGGCCAGGAGTGATCCAAGCTACTGTCTAGGGCAGCAGATATTAGGCAAACTCCTAGGATCAAATGTCCATCTTTTATGGACCTTGATGCAAGGTTCTAAAGCACATCTTTGACTTAAACTAGAACATTTTAACTTAATACTAGAATAAAGATATTTGAACACTGCAGTGTTTTAGGAACACACTGATAGGCTATAGTGTAGATGTGTATCTTGCATGATCCTAATCGGCTGATAGGATCCTATCCTAAATTTCCCAGTCCTTACTAACAAAATATATGATTTTAGACACGTAATACATATTTACACTGTATAACCTCTGTGTGGTCAATTCATATCAAGTATATGTTAGAGTGCTATTTGCCAGACAACAGGAACACCGTCCTGACAGAGGAAAAGGAAGTGGTATTGTTGGAAATTCTGTTAACAAAAGGTGGTATGTTAGTTGTAGASCTAGACAAAAAATCTGCGGTCGGTGACTTGAAGTTTACACATGAAATTGGAGGTCTAAGAATCATTCTGTTTTCTAAAATGGGGAATAAAATATCTTCTTTTTGGATCAGTAAACTGAGTGATAGAATATTTTTTGCAAGTTTGTTAGGAGATTATAAAATTAATATAAGGAGATAAACAGGAACTGGCAGAATACCAAAGAATAACAACTGTTCATGGTTCATGCTGTGATAATGACATGTTTTTTTTTCTGGTTGTGTCTTTTTTTTTTCTCCTCCATGGTATCACTTATATTTCAGGGAGAAGATCCATTACATTCGGACAGAGGGTACACATGGGCTTGAAAAGTTGTCATGTGATGCAGATTTAGTAATTCTGCTGAGGTAATCAATTTGATCAATAGCATAATGTAATTACTTACAGTACCAGAGAACTATATGGCTCTTTCTCAACATAATTGAAAARATTTTGTTAAATTAGGGCACACTGATAGTCATCCAAAATGATTCAGCTGGACTATATCTGTCAATTTGTACTTCCTGGAAGACAGCCTCCATCAGTGCAGTAAATCCAGCCAGCTCAGTCAGTATGGCTGTTACCATCAAGCAGCAGATAAAAAAGAATCAGGTCAAAACATTTCCTTCTAATGTGAAAAAAATCTTGTTCTTTAAAGAAAGAAAAARCAAAAAAGAGAGGAAAATATCCCTTGTTTTTCTCAGTATCAGGGTGTAGCTGCTCATGAAATTGATAGTTGTACTGCAGCAATGCTGCCAAACATGCATGAAACTTCGATATTCAGTGCAGTGAGTGTTGTTTGGATAATGTGGACAAGGCCTCAGTTTTTACTGGAACTAGGAAGCTTGGTCTTTAGGTCCTACTTCTCAGTACAGATAAGGACTCACTTTGTTGTCTTGGTCTGAGATAGGAGATGTTGCATTACCCAGGTGGGTTTGGTGTGCTGTAGTAGCACTGCCTAATGCAAGAAGCTTACAACTTACTCCCATCATTTTAATTTGAGCAGTCAAAGCACTGAACTGCATGAAAATGACCCAAGAAAGACAAGAGATAGAGTGTGTGTCTTAACTTCTTTCTCTTTGCCAACATGTTGAAGGTGTTCCTGTTTACTGCACAGCCTCACATCTTTGCTCTCCATCAGTGGCCTGAGCCATCCTGTTAGCATGAAACATCTGTTAAAAATCTTTGTTTTTCATTACTAGTGACCAGGCTGTCTTTGGGAAACCTATGAATATTTTTAATCCATGAGTTCAGAGATGTACCCAGACATCTGACACAGTGAACTTTCACCATACTGCATAAGTGCATTGCTTCATGTGATGAATGTGAACTAAATCTCTCCCTGTGACATTTTCCATGCAGCCTTTTTGAAGAGGATATAATGTCCTACATACCACTGCAGGCTGCCTTCCATCCTGGTTACAGTTTTTCTCCTCGCTGCTCACCCTGTTCATCACCCCAAAACTCCCCAGGTAAGGAGRTGGGGAAATAAAGACAAAATCTTGCATTTGTGGTGGTTTTACTAATAAATAGAGAGGGCCAGATTCAGAGCYAGCATCAGCTGTCAACCTGCTAATTCCAGTGCCCTCTGATCTGATCCCAGCTGCTTTTTTTGCTGAATCAGTTTCCAGTGCTGMTATGTATGTGTTGAAGTGTTAGCAGTAGCTGGAGCACAGATCAGAAAWTGCCCATGTGGAAGAAGGTATTTTCCTGCTTTTTATACCATTGGAAACGATTATGATAAGAGAATGGTGTACTCCCAAGCAYAAGTCACTGACACGGGAAGCACATTCCTATTATGTGACAGCAGCAAAGAGCAACTACCAAACTGAAGGTGTATTGCAGTACATCCAGTACCCCTGTAAAGCTCAGTCTCCTCYACTCAGTGTTCCAAAAACTTCTCTTCTTCCCAAGAGAAGAAGGTCTTTTAAGACCTGAGGGGATCATCTTCATCATCCAGCCTGACCTCCCGTGTTGAGCCCATTAACTTAGGTTTGACAGGAAACGTGTTTTCCAGAAAGACATGCTGTCTGAGAAGGTTATTTCCAGCTGTTCTATGTCTCTGTAGTTATTGTTTATGCTATAGAAATTTGAGGAGCTAATGCCTCCCTTTTGCCAAGATACACAACCCCCGCCGCAGTCTCACTACATGGCTGTGTCCAGTGGCTGTTTTRAGAGAATCAACAGAAATGTGATCTGAAGAAATCCATTTTTGGCTGAGGATGTAGAACATTCATTTAAATTATCTGATTTCAAACAAAATTAATGGACAGGAGAAATTCAAATGTTGGATGTGGCTGTGGAAAATTCAAAGTTTTTTGGATGTGAAGAAGTTAAATGCAGAAACCTTTTTCTAAATGAGGCCAATGTCAGAATGTCCTATTTTCATTAATGAGTTTTAACACCGTTATTAATACAGTTCCCTTCATCCACATCAGGATAGGTCAAATCTCCTACAGGACAAAAATCCAGGTATTTGGCACAAATATGACTTTGGAGGCTGTTCTTGCAAAAATATGAGAAGGGCAAATACCCATTTCCAGCAACACTGTGTCTTCTTGCTGATTTCTGTCCTGGTTATAGAGCCCATGAGAGGTGCTCTACAGAGCTGAGGAGTCCTAGGTTGTGGTTACCCATTTCCGTGTCCTGCTAAATGGGTACAAGGCAGACATGAAATATATTTTAGAAGGTCTGTCTTAAAATGTCCATATGAACAAGAAGGATTTCTCATCTCCCTCATATGTCCTGGGTGAACACAAAAGGCTAAGAGAAGAAAGAAGTGTTGCAAGGGATTCTCTTTGCACTACATGTGAATATGCCTTTCTGTTTTACCACCAGAGACAGTAATGTCCTTCCCTCATGGCAAGCAGAATACCTTGGGCTCCTACTAAATATGAAGGAGTATTTTTCCTTTCCTGTGGAGCCTTTTCTGCCAGATTTCTCATAAAAGGGCTTGTTTTTATTGTCTTCTCTAAGGAGATAGGAAAATGGGATTTCATTAATCTATTCTTTGTCCCTTTATGGCATGGCACTTTTTATACAAAAAGAATAATAAGCTACTTTGAGAATGCAGCCTTCAAAACAAAACAGGTTTCAAAGTGCTAAAAAATCTTCTGTATATGTGAATCATGATAGGGAAATGGAGGGTATCCTTCTGACCGAAATCCTTTTTGATGCCATAAAGGGGTTTTGTTTTGATGGCTGGAAGTGTTTAATATACAGTCAGATTAACACAGGGAAATGTGATTCCCAGCTTGGCTGGGCTGCTGGTCTCCAGTGAGAAGCGTTGCTCTGAGTTTCAGAGGTTTAATCCTGCCAGGTAAAGAGATCTCCTATACAGAGCAGAGGAGAGAGAGGGATCTCTAAAAAAATTGCAAAAGGGAAAAAAAAACCTAAATGCTACTGACCGTGAGAGACATGTAGGCATGTCAGTCTTTCTCAGGCCTTTCTGATCCTTCAGTTTCCATTCACATCAATCACAGCTGAAAGTCAAGGCAACACCAGGGCACACACAAGGTGTGCTTAATAGTACTTTCAATGAAGAAGATACAGTCCCTGGGAGTTCATTGCAATCACTGAATTACAGGAACTTACAACTCTATTGATGCCAGGTAGGACAAAAATAACACTGAGTGCACTGTATAACTGTAAAATGTTCCTAGCACGTTTATTAACCAGTTCTGTCCTGAAACATAAGCCACATGGTTTGGAAGAATTTCAAGCCMCTTACACCTTAGGAAGCTGTTCATTTTCCCTCCAGGGCTGCAGCGAGCAAGCGCAAGAGCACCTTCTCCATACAGGAGGGACTTTGAAGCCAAGCTGCGCAATTTCTATCGRAAACTTGAAGCCAAAGGGTATGGGCAAGGTCCAGGGAAAATTAAGTGAGTATTAAAATGTSTAGCATGGCATAACTTTGTCTTTTGTCATTCATTATCCATGAAGGCACTGATAGGGAGTAGAAAACACCCTGGAGATTTCTTTTTGTACATAACCATTCGGGCTASATAAGATCTTCATATACACTGCAAAAGAGTGACCTTCAAGAGGTTTTTGTGTGGACGTTTTACTTCCTAAAGATTCATATTTTCTTACATTCCCATTTCCTACATAGTTATCAGGGATGTTCACACTCCTGCATATAATTTGCCAGTGGGAGAGTTACCCTTTCGGGTAAACATCCACCAGATATTGACAACTATATCATTCTAATGATGGGATGACTCCACATTCTGTGGATCTAGATATCAATATAAATCAGGACCTTAATATGTTCCTACAGGTGTTTGTACATGCTGGTTTAACTTTTCATTGTTTTTTGTGTTGGTAGCCCTCCCAGATTTGAAATTGAGAGATTTCTGCCAGTCTTCATGTATTTTGGGGTTCTCTGTCATTTGGCTATGGAGTTTCTTTCCATACATCTTGTTAGTTGGCTTTTGAGTCWGTACCTACTTGTGCTCAATCGAGTTATCCAACTTTGCCAAAGGGCTGTGTGTTTCTAAGGTATTTCCTGGGCATCTGGTTGAATTTATGCCTCAGGYTGGCTTCCTACCAAATGACATCTGTTGTGGGGAAAAAGAGTATGAAGCCAAGCAATTTATTCCAGGTAAACGTCATCAGCAAAATAATTCTRCAGAGCTGAGGAGTCYTAGGTGGTGGTTACCCATTTTGGTGTCCTGCTAAATGGGTGCAAGGCAGAAATGAAATACATTTTAGAAGGTCTGTCTTGCAATGTCCATATGAACAAGAAGGATTTCTTGCACATACAGTGTTTAGAACTACTATTCCTTAAGTTGTTTTACAGATTAGTAAGGGAGTGAGAGATATGTTGAATAATCAGGGGCTGGTATTCCCTTTGCTTCCCCTGCCACAGAAGCCRTATTTCCATGGACATTCACTGGATTAAATCCAGGAAGTGTCTGGGGCCAATTCCAGAAAGCTGTGACTTCATATATACTGGAAACTCACAGCCCTCTCTACTGTGTGAATTTGTACATATGGGTTGCTGCAGGGAATCTTAGCAGTAGAGCAGCACTTTGAACCTAAATCCTGGCATTGTGAAGAAAATTACCTTYGAGGCACGTAGAAAAGCCTGATGGAACAAATCCTGAAAACCCRTAGTGGTCAAGTAGCACATGCAGTGGCAGGGGCCATTTTACTAACTTCTCTGAGAACCAATGTCTCTCTTTAGCAACTCTTGTTCACCTTCAGCCTCACAAGCTCCCACAAAACTCCATCACTGGATCTTTATTTCTGCCATCCTTTGCAGGTTAATCATACGGCGTGACCACTTGCTGGAAGGCACCTTCAACCAGGTAATGGCGTATTCACGCAAGGAGCTCCAGCGGAACAAACTCTACGTCACGTTTGTCGGCGAGGAAGGGTAGGAAACAACAGAATGCTCTTGGTTCTGAAGTAGCTGTTACATTGCAAAACACTGAGTTGGCTAAGGTTGAGCCTCTCTTGTTATGTAATGTTTCTTTGGTTTTGTTTACCTCTCAGTAAGTGATTCACCTTAATCAACTCAAATATTTGTTAAAAATAACAATAACGCTTCATTTTGCTATAACACCTTCCATCTAGATGTCTCAAAGTGACAATTTRAGTGGTTAAGTCTAACCTCTGGTTAATCTAACCAGTGGTTAATCTGTCCTCTTGTTTGCCATAGATATTTTGACGGGCTAGAAAGGAAAACTCAACTACAGGCCAGTGTTTACATACAGAGTCAGTCTCAGGACTATAAGTAGAAATCAGACCTTTATCCACTTTGTTAGTCTAACTCTTCACAATGGATCTGGTCTTGCTTCAAAAATTTGTGCTTTACATGCTATCTAATGATCATATGTKATCCATATGAAGGTTTCTTGTTTCCATCTTAAGTGAGAAACATGAATGCTGCTTAGTCCTTAAAACTTAATTCATGCAGCTGGAATCTGAAAGCAAAAGAATTCTCTTGAGAAGGCTTTTTCTCAGGAAACTTTCTACCAGTCTTACAATCTGTGAGCCATTCCTGTATGATTAAAGACAGCCCCTGACCTTTTGTTTTCAAATGTAAACACAACCTTTCAAAGCCACCYTGGCTCTCCTCAAGAGCTACATTGTAATTGAGGCTTAATCCACATGCTTTTGTAATGGAAAAACCATGCTGTGCATGTTTCCAATGTGCCATATAACAAAGRCATGAAATTGTATTCAGTAGCTTTGCATGTAGAGTTTCTTTTTTTCAAAAACCACATGGATAGGATTTCAGTTCCAAAGGTACCAGAYAGTATACCTGAGGCAACTCAGAATGTTGAGCAGCTGCTGACATTCTCAGCTCTGAGGTGTCATGGCAACTGAAGGACTTCTGCCAAGCTGAGCTTGTCTCAGGACAGGTTATGTCCAGTGGAAAACAGAAGTTCCCAGTCTCAGAGAGTCTCTTGGTGACCCCAGTATCAGAGKTTTTTTTCACTCTTACTTTTCATACTCTATGGGTTCAGTATTGTGTAGCAGAGGTCATCTTTCATAGCTGGTTTTGCCTCTGGCCTGCAAGCAAAGCATAAACGTAGCACACATCAGTTTGTGTTTTTGGAATAGCACTCTGGAATGTTAATACTGGCCAAAGTCATATTGTCTTCTATGTGACATAGTGCCCTCAGGAGAAATTACAAACCAATTAAATGTGCAAATTCATTCTTCTATCACTGGTTCATTTACATCTCAAGATACATTCCTTCAGGGTTTATGCTGCTTAATGCTAACTTACATTCTGTTGGAGGGACTCCAGGATGGCAATTCCCTATTGAAGAGTTGATGCTGCATGGCCATGTGATGCTGTAAGGGCACAGCTTCCCACGTTTCACAGAAAAAAAGACATTGAAAATGAACTATAAATGCTTTATGATGAGTTAGTGTGTTGTCCACAAATGCAATAACTAGTGTCCCATTGGAGCTTTTTGAGTACAGACAAGTGTTTGTGGTTCTGTGCTCTGGCCATTATCAGACTTAACCCAGTGTTTTTATGTCCATAGAACCAGATCGGTTCCATGGCTGCACTGGTGGCTCAGGTGGGCTTGTTACCATCCTCTTTTGCAGGTGTGGCTTTAGTGTCATCACATGATCCTAGAGCTAAASATCCTCAAAGAGAGAAGCACTGAATCTCCAGACATAAACCACAGGAGGATGGGCCCACTTGCCCTTTATCATCTTTCTCATTGCACAAATCAATCAACCCCTTTCACTTAAGCTTCTATAACTTCGAATACAGTACAGACCGTTCTGATCCAGTTGCAGGGCTTTCCAATTAACTTTACATTTGTTAAGTAGAAGGAGCAGTGTCCACCTGAGAAAATCTTTTGGCTCATATGATATATGGCTACAGATCATTTCTTCATATTGCTTCATGTAGGTTTATTTTAGATTGAAAAACCTACCTRCCATTATAAGAGAATGATCTGTTTTTAATTAGTCCATCACAGTTTCATTTAATACATTCAGGAGAAGTTTGTGGTCTTGTTTTCCTTTTTTTTTYCCCAAGTTGAGYYWAAAAGATTAAAGGAAAAAAAGAGGCTCTTTACAGAGCAAATATATGCAACAACAAAGCACATTTTAAGGTGTACCACATGAAAATACCAGAAAAGTAGAAGGTTTTGGATGGAACCAAGCAAGGTGTCATTGGTCTCTCCTAAGAGACACAGTTCTGCTTGTACTTGGTCATGTTCACCATAAACCTTTAGGTTATACCTRTAGCTAAGAAAGCACCCTTTGGGTACATCTCAGTGTAGGAGAGTCAGAGCAATTTCTGCTTTAGACCAGGCTGTCTGGTGTGTGAACCCAGCTGTCCAAAGGCAATTCAAACCCACTCACTAAAAAGCTACCCACCTCTGCTAGCCAGCCAGCTGAGCCAAGGCTGAGCCTTACACCTCCAGTTTTCTACACTCTTGGAACAAAGGAAAATAAACTACTCAAGGGATGTGTCCTTGTCATGATTCCTCCCACATCAACCTGAATATTGGTGAAGTTTTGGCATTGCAACTTGTTCAGGATTCAGAATCAAGTTTTGAGAGGAGAGATGAATCATGTTAGAGATCCTTGACCGCACAGGCTGCTGTGTTAAGACAGCAGTTAATGTAGGCAAACCTGGGAAATTCACTCAAATGGTGAGGAACCTCATTTTATTTTTTCTATCTTTTCCAGGTTGGACTACAGCGGCCCCTCCCGAGAATTCTTTTTCCTTCTGTCTCAGGAGCTCTTCAATCCCTATTATGGGCTGTTTGAGTATTCAGCCAACGACACCTACACTGTACAGATCAGCCCCATGTCTGCCTTTGTTGAAAATCACCTGGAATGGTAAGAAGATTTTACACAGAATTGAACAATCATTTCAGAGCGATAAAAAAATGGAAAAGGAAAACAAAGGTGCMAGTTTAGACTAGAGTACATAGAAATATTGCTTCTACTGGGAAGAAGGGAGGAAGTAGGTTATGAAAAGGAAGAGAGGGGGTAAGCGTAAATACAAGACCAGGCTCTGAAAAAGCAGTTGTGATGGAGTACTATTATAAAATGTCCCACTAGCGTTACTTGGGATTTGATATTTTTGTACTTCTGTGTGAATGTGAAAAGGACAGGGAGAAGAGCTCTGCTTAATGCAGACTTCCCCTCCTTGATCCCTGTCTAAGAAAAGCCAGTGTGGCCTTTCTGTACATTACACAACATTATGCTTGGAAGCTGAACAGTGTTCTCTGAGAGCCACGTTGCTGCTCTGTACCTACCATGGGCCTCAAAAAAGTCCCAGTGAAAGCAGTTCTCTTATTCTTTCTTGACAGTATCCCTGCTCTCTGGGGCAAGGCCAGCAGAGTGAGCAGATATTTTACCTCACTAAGTATGTGTGCAAATAAACAACTTGCTGATYTTGTTTCTATATCAAAAATTCTGAAAGCATTTTTTGATCTCCCCATTTTCTCTTTCTGCCTCCAGATCTGTCTGTCTTTGGCAGTTGTTTTCACTTTGGTGTTTCAGATGTGGTTCAGTAAAGCATGGGCTGTGAGCCCTGGGCATCACTCGGTCCCCTGTGGGACTTCATTGTGTCAAAGAAGTGCTGCCACATGGGTTTTTTCCTATGATGGTTTTCTTTGTCAATCTCACTGGCTCCTGTCAGAGATCCCTTTTTTAAATGGGAGGCAGTTCAGGCCACTTTTAAATTGCAAATGGTACATGTTCCTGTATTCTTGTAAACAGATCCCCCTTTTCTTTGCTTACAGTGGGCAGGAGATCAAGAACAGTTGTGCTGTCACCTCTGTTAAAGTTGCCAGGGAACAAGGGGATGTTGCTTGGAACTAGCATGGTTTCTGAATGGTTGGAAGTTTTTTTGTATTTTCACTTCCAGCAGTGGAGCTAACAATGATCCTTGCTTTAGAGTGTTTCTCTACTGACGTGAGCAGGAAAAGAGCAGCTTAGTTCTTACAGCTTGTTCACTTCCCACTGCCATCCTGTTCATTAGACATTATGTGGTGCCTTCCTMGTTTTCAAGAAAAGATACAGTCTGTCCTATCTTAACAGACAGCATGGATAAACTTCTGATTTAGGGGGCTGTCATTTGTGGAGATGTATTTTGATTTCCAGGCAGAGAATCAACTAGGTACATGACAGCCCATGACCATTCTGCCCACATTGTGACAAAGCTGAACACAGGCCTTTATGTCCAGAAATAATGTTGCCATATTGTCTCAGCAGTAGGTGAAATAGGCCCTTGCTCTTAGGTGTTGTAAACACTGTTGTTGCAAAGGGGTGCAATTTTCTTAAGTGATAAATTCTACTGCAAAACATATATGCTGTGTTTGATCCCTTCATTTTGCCTTTCTGTGCCTAGAGAGATTTCAACATAAAAGAGGCAGGTTTTTAAAGGTATCCTGGGCATATAGAACAGCAGAGAAACATCTAATATTATTTTCAGCAGTAGCAGTTAGCATTTAACTCAGAAATCTGCAGCAGTTAGACACTTAGGCTATTTCTCCAACTACACATATCAGTCCATCTTCCTGCATGCAAAATGTTATTTGGCTYTGGACATTTTTGGTTTCCTATTTTCAAGAGAGATAAACTGGGTCTCTTGGCCTGCAGAAGGAAATAAATGTTCTGAATGAAAAGGTTTGCAAATGAAGTGTTGTAAATAGGGCAAGATTGCAGAAGCCAAGGGAAAGATAAGCAATCCAGTCAGTGCTTGGAAATACTTCTTGAACCTGTTATGGAAATAATTGCTTGAGACCAGCAGTTTCTAATTAGCCTGATAGGTTTCATRATTGGCTTGTAGATATCTCGACATTAATGCTGTCTATGTGATCGATCTCAGCTATTCATGTGCAAYTTTAGAGTCCTGTGCTCAGAGTTCTGTGCAGCAGGCTAAAATAGGATTTGGACCAACCTTTTCAAAACTCAAGAGTTTGATTTTCCCATRAAGGCTTTACAGGCTAACTTCTGTGAGCACAGTGTACTAACTGGCTTGTCACTGTTTGTTCCTGAGGAATGGGGTTTTCTGATGTTCCCAGATTTTCTTCATTCTCATCAAAGTCAGTTCTAGAACTTCTGTTGCTCAGATTTGCTTGTTGATATGATTCCAACAGAGCCTCCTCCCTGTAACACACTGGAAATAAGTATTACTTTACTGTTCTCAAATCTGTTATGAAGGACCAGTTAATGTAGATGGATGAATCAGTTTGAGATTCCCAGGGTCACGGATTATTAATATTCATCGTATTTTCAAAGCTTGAACGCTGATGTCAGTCATGAAAACCACACAACCACAATTGGYTTAGATTTGCATATTTCTTTAGCTCTATGCTTTTTGGTGCTGTGGGGCTTGTTATTTATGTGAATTTTACCCTTGACATGTTTTTCTCTATAGTACTTCTGCAAGACCTCTCCAGACACTGCTATATTAAGAAACGGGGCTAGCAAAAAAATGCACTCAAAATTATTTTACATTTTTTTCTTTCTTAAGCAAACAGCGGTGAATTTGAGATAAATACAACAAAATGCAAAGATGTGAAGTTTTATTCATATTGGCAGAATTGAGAAATATACTTCTCTTTTTCCCCAGCCTAAAAGTTACAGTTCTGCCCCTTTTAGTGGCTTATTTCATGCTTTGCTCTTCGTACAAACAGCATTCTGAGTCCAAAATGAGCACTTCAAAGCACAGACTAGTTGTATGTATGCCAAGTTAAGAAAGAGGCATAATGACTGGAAAATATTTCTCATTTGTGGAGAAACTGAGATTTAGCACCTTTCCTGCAAGCTTCCATTGAATAAGACCTTTTCCTTCAGTTARCATATGTGCATGCTGGAGACACAAAATATATCACACATTTTTAAAGTTAAATTATTTTTCAATCCCCCTGTATCTGAAAGGACAGCTRTAACTGTAGATCAAAGAAGTTTGATGATATTTTTTTATCTGCATGCTACAGGATATACCTGAAACTCCTAGACAGAAAAGCTGCCTTTAATCTGTGGCAGTAATACCCATTCTATCTGATCTAGGTTAACGTGTCTAGCTTTTTGCCTAGATAYTTGAAAACATCTTCTGAAATACACTCCCACTTGAAGCAATTCACCCTTTTCCACATAAGTGGGCAAAATTTGGAACCGCAGAAAAAAAATGTGAAAACAAACCCAGTCTCTGCATAAAAGGCCAAATGGCCTAGACAGAAAGAATCATTCACAGACATTCATTTGGAGATCTGAGGGATCTTAACTTGAAACATCCTTTTTCTGTGTTTTCACTGTGAATTGGTGACAGCATGGGTTTTTGTAATAGTTAGGCATTTATGGACCTTGCTGTGACATTTATGCAGCCAGAGAGCAGTACCCCAGTGCTACAGTTATTGTACAGGTATTTACAGCTTGCAAATCATACTTAGAATTCTGTATCCATCTCAGAGAAGCCCTGTTGCATTTTGCTTGTTTTTCTTTATATGAAAATTAATGCATTTATTTAGCAAAGCCTTGTTAGAAAGTTGAAGACCTGTGAGTAAAATGTTTTTGTGCAGAATCCTACTGAAAACCATGTGTGTTTTTCACCAGATGTTGTGTCAAACCAAATGCCCAGGTCTCCAGAAGCTGTAGATTTATTCCTGGTCACRYTGTCCTAATGAACTCCACTAACTTAATGCTCMYTTAGAGCTACTTTGGGGCAGGACTGTCTTCATTCATTTCACATAGTTAGCCTTTCTTTCTCCTCTCCAATACCACTCCTCATATTCTATTCTGTGCCACTGAGCAGAGTCAGACAGAAGGCTTGCATGTGTGTCTGCATCTCACTCTACAGACAGATGGAAGCCTGGTGCACCCACTCTCCATGCAGACAAGAACTTACTTTCCCCGTGTTCCAAGGCAGCTGACATGGTCACTGCAATGTTGAGCTGAACAAATACATGCTGCCTCCCATCAGGGCTGATTGCTTCAGGCCTGGCACTGCCTGGGTTGCTTTTATGTGCTCTGGCAAGCATGGCACATGGGCAGAACCAGCTCCCTTTGCTTGCACGGTGCTGTGGGGGCATAGCCCCAGCCAACCTCTGAGCAGCCCTTTTATTTATTTCGTGTAAAYGAGAAACCACATCACCAGCACTATCCATCTCTAGCGTGCCAGAGAATGCAGGGTGTTGTTTTTTCCTTTCTTTGTTAAAATAAATCCAAGGGGAATTGAGACTGTTGCAACTTCGGCTGTCTTTTCTCCTTAGAGAGCCTGGTTGCTTTGCTTATCCCCATTTCCTTAGGAGTTGTGCCTTGTGAAATTGCCCTGTCTATCCATGAGACAGATTCCTAATCAGTTTGAGACCTGTCTGACAGAAAGGTAAACACGTTGAAGACACTAATTTCCTGAAAGCTTTGTGAAACTCGTGTCTGGCTAAAGGACAGATCTGCAGCAGAGTGGCTCAGTGAGGCAGGCTGGAGTGCTCAGCAGGGATCTGTTCTGTCCGTGCTTTCAGCAGCCAGGCAGCACGATGAGCTGACAGGTCCATCACAGGCAGAGGCTGCAAACCAGCCTTGTTGTCTTGCTCAGGAGCTTGGGGATATGAGGGAGAGCTGTGCAAGCTCAGGGGAGACAGGGRAGAAACTGGAGATAACCCCAAAGTCTGGGAACTGCTAGCTGAAATGTGTAGGAGGAAGTGGGAGCTGCTGTAGTGTGGTAAGGCAGGGCCATCAGAGGCAGATCCATAGGAAACAAAGCTCCATTAACGCCTCTACACAGAGATTGACTTATTTCAATTAAAGTGTTTTTRAAGAAAGTGAAAAATTGCCTCATGACCTAATGGGTTGTATTCTGATGCTGACCACCTCATAGGRTGGATTCA